ATTTTTTGGACCACTTGCCTTTTGTAAAAACAAATGACAGTTCATTTGGTTTCTTTGTCATTTTTGTTTTGTTGGATTCAGTTAACTTGGCTGCATTTGGTAAAACATGGAGTTTAACAAAAACGTTCTATCCTGTTTGTTTTCTTTCCTTCATTTTTATATGAGAGGACACTAATAAAAAAAAATTCCCTCGAGTATTTTTGTAGTTTCCTCTGAAAAATTTCAAACCTTTTTGCTTTAAAAATCGCTTTCCTTTTTAAAAAAGAAGATGAGTATTAATATTTTATAGACACTGCCTATCTTAATTTCATGTAAATAGTAGTGAATGCTTTCCTTTGAAAAGGAAAGCACATTTTCAAAATGGGGCACAGATTGATAAAACAAAGAATCTAACCTTTATTGGTAAATGGAGAGGAAAAAATACTGTAGTAGGGACCATTTTTTGAAGCAAAATAATATTGTTCTTAAATACTATTAAAAACTTAGCTGAATTTTTTTCTCATGGCTCCAAATAACCATTTAATCACGGATAGTGCTGGCAGAGACCTGAGAGATCATCTTGTCTAAGTCTCTCTATAGATGAGGAAGATAAAAGGTGAGATTCCAACAGCAGCAGGGCAAGTGCTAATAAGATGTGTCTATGGTTAGTTGTATAGAGCTCAGGCAAAACTCTCTCAGGGACAGAGGAAATTCTGGAAGTCCAGGTGTGAAGGAGTAGGATACCAGTAGAAAAGTAGAGAGCAGGATGGCCTGAATAGATGTTTTATACTAAGATTAAAAAGATGAATTCCTTGGGGGCAACTAGGTGGTACAGTGGATAGAGAGTCCCCACCCAGAGTCAGGGAGATTCATTTTCCTGAGTTCAAATCTGGCCTCAGACACTTAATAGCTGTGTGACCCTAGGCAAGTCACTTAACCTTGTTTCCCTCAGTTTCCTCATCTGTAAAATGAGCTAGAGAAGGAAATGGCAAACTACCCCAGCATCTTTGCCAAGAAAACCTCAAATGGGATCATGAAGAGTCAGACACAATTGAACAACAACAGAATGAATTCTTTAGTGTGCCTTTCATGATCTTCTTTAATCTGAATCAGTCTCCCTTTACAGTCTTTTGCACAGTATTCTCCTTTAAGCCCTCCTATGGTCTAATCAAACTGGGCTCCTTAGTGTCCCTGACCTTATTCTACCTTAGCCTGTCTCTGTGACTTTGCTCATTCCATTCTTCATGCTTGGACTGAACTGAACTTTTTTTCCCACCACTTCTCAAATCTCTGCCTATTGAAATCTGTCCCCCTTTACAAAACACAACTTATGTGCTACTTTGTCCGTGATGTGATTAGGAAAACCAGGAGATTGTAGCATTTTAAAAGTGAAGGGAGGCTGGTATATCCAGAAGGAGGGGGGATTAGCTGCAGAGAAGTCAGGGAAAATGAGAAATAGGAGAGAGTGCTGGGAGTGAAAACCAGATTTCAAGTGATAAAGAAGTAAGGCATGACATTTAGACTACATTTTCAGAAATTCAGTGAAAAGGAAAGAAATGAGACAGTAGTTTGATGGAAGGCTTGAGAGAAATGTTTTCTTGTTTATGGATTGGGGAAACCGGAGAATGTTTGTAGTAAATGGCAAAGAGCCAATGGAAGGGGAGAAATTGAAGATGCATGTTAGAGAAGAGAGTAAGAACTGAGTAACTGAAGAAAAATCCTGGAGAAGTTAGGAGGGGGTGGAATCAAACATTCAGATAGGAATTAAGACTTGCAAATCTGAAGATGTTGAAGGCATATTTAACAAATTTACAGACAACAGTTGGGAAGTGTTAGGTAGTATGACAGAAATTGCAAACTGGTAGGATCTTTTTCTGGAGAGTAATCTAAATCACATAGTAAAAATTTACAAAAGTAGTTATACCTTCAGTGCCAGAAAGATGTGAGATGAGGAGACAAGGGACTTTAGGGGAAATAGCGTCTATTTCTTGAAAAAGTATAAGTTGAGGTTCTCAGTTGAAAGGATGAGGAGAGTGGAAGGCTTCTAGAGAGAAGACAAGATTTGAAATAGCTTCCGTGGTAAGTTGGATATAGATTAAATCAGAGTAAATTGATTGTTTAGCTGCAGTAAATTAATATTAGAGAACGTAAATTTGTAGCAAACCCAGTCATCATGTGTTCCACAGCATGTGAATAGGAACAAAGGAGGCAGAAGGTGGTGGGCATAATTTAGGGTTTGGTAAAGCATGAGCATATGATAGGACAAGGGAGCAAGAGATTCCTGTGCAGAGGATAGTGTAGAGTTGAACTGGTTCATTAAAGATTCACAAAATTTCACTAAGGAAAGACTTTTGTTAAGAATTGCATAGCTGAGGCTTAAGGGAAGCTAGGGATTCTAAGAGATGGAGGTGAAAAGGGTGTACATTCAAGGCATGGGGGGATATAGCCAGTGCAGAGGTAGGAGATGGAATGCTGAGTTTGGGAAACAGTAAGTAGGCCAGTGTTCTGTAATATAGAATATGTAATGCAGAACAGTGTACAATAAGCCTGGAAAGATGGGCTGTAGCTAGATTGTGGAAGGGTTTTAAATGTCAAACTAAGTGACAGATTAAAGAGCCACAGAATATTCTGGAGCATAGCAGTGACATAGCCAGACTTAAGCTTTTGGAAGATTTTTTTGGGCAGTTTTATTAAGAGGATAAGAAGGAAGAGGGGGGAGACTGGAAGCTGGGAGTTCAGTTAGGTTATTGCAGTGGTTCAGATGAGATATGAGAAGGTCCTGAATTAGGTGGTAGCTGTATGAATGGAGAGAAAAGGAAATGAAAAGGATGCCTCAGATGACATGTAGGTGGAATTATCAAGCCTTGACAACTGATTGAAAAGGACGTGTATGTGGGAGTGGGTAAGGGAAAGGGAGAGGCAAGTATAAGGTTGAGGATGACTGAGGTTGTGAGAATGGGCAACTAGGAAGGATAGTAGTACCCTCAACAGGAAGGGTGAATTTAGAGGGATGGAGTATCAAGTTCTGTTTTCTTAACCAAGTAATAGAATTACATCTACTGCTTACCCAGTATTGGTCATCTAGCCAATAGCTTCAAGTCTTCTAGTGATGGGGGACTCATTTGCTTCCCTGAATAGAGCCCATTTGATTTTTGGACAGTTCTGATTATTTGGATGTTTTTTCTGACCAGTTCATTCCTTTTTTGGGCAGCTTTACTGTTAGGATGTTTTTCTTTATGTTGAGCCACAATCTTTCTCCTTTTAACTTTTACACATTGGTCCTATTTTTTTTTTCCCATGGCCTAGTAGAAAAATTTCTTCTGTCTTTTATATTTTGATAAGGTGATGGGTATCATACTGGCTCATAATCAATAGGCTATAATCTTTCCATCTTGTAATATTGAATTTTTCTTAATAAAGTTTAATAATTACTCTTGCTAATTTAGTTACATATTATAGATATTTGAGATGATTTAATTCAGGTAACAGGTACCATTTACTTTTTTAAAAAATAAATTTATTTTTAGTTTTCAACATTCACTTCCATAAGATTTTGAGTTTTAAATTTTCTTCCCCTCCTTCTTCTCATCCCCCCCACCCCCGCCCCCCAGCCAAGATGGCATGCAATCTGATATAGGCTCTACTTGTACATTCATATTAAAAATATTTTCCCACTAGTCACGATGTAAAGAACAATTAGAACTAATGAGAGGAACCATGAGAATGAAGCAATAAAATAAAACAACAAAGGAAAAGGAGAGCAAATAGTATGCTTCCATCTGCATTCAGACTCCATAGTTCTTTCTCTGGATGTGGATAGTATTTTCCATCATGAGTCTTTTGGAGTTGTCTTAGATCCTTGCATTTCTAAGAGCCAAGTCTATCAAAGTCAGTCATCAAACATTGTGGCTGTTACTATGTACAATGTTCTCCTGGTTCTGCCCATTTCACTCAGCATCAGTTCATATAAGTCTTCCCAGATTTTTCTGAAGTCTGAACAGGTACCATTTATGCTGGTCGTTTTCTTCGTCATGTTTTATTTTTGCCTATATGGTGCCTAACACATAGTACTTAATAAATGTTTGTTGATTGTTGTTTGATTGAAAGGACACTATGCTTGGAGTCAAAAGGCCTGATGGGTTCAAGTGACACTTGGCGTGTAACCTTAGCAATAGGATCATAGGGTAATAGATTTACTGAAAGAGGAGATTTTAGAAATCTAGTCTAACCCCTTCATTTAATAGATGAAACTGACTCCAAGAGAGATTGTGAGTTAGTTAAGTCACTAAACATCTCTAAGCCTTAGTTTCCTCATTTGTGAAATAGGGATAATGCTTATATAGCATACTTCATACTGTTTTTTCTTATTTATGAACGTGTATAATTAAGTAAAACAAATTCCTGCATTAGTCATGCCCCCCAATATACATGTGTGTGCATATACAGTACATGGGCGTGCACACACACACACACGTGTGTGTGTGTGTGTGTGTGTGTGTGTATGTCTTACTCTGCAGTCTTGAATTTTCTCTCTGCATGTGGATAGCATATATCATCATGACTCCCCTGGAGTTATGGTTGTTCATCGTGTTGATCAGAATTACTAAGTCTTTTAAAGTTGTTTGTCTTTACAATATTGTTGTTATTGTATAAATTGTTGTCCTGGTTCTGCTCTCTTCACTTTGTATTAATTCATACAGACCTTGCCTAGTTTCTCTGAAACCATCCCCTTCATCATTTCTTACAGAACAATAGTATTCCATCACATTCATATACTGTAACTTCTTCAGCCATTTCTCAGTTTCCAATTCTTGGCCAGCATGAAAAGAGTTGCTGTAAATATATATATGTACATGGAGGTCTTTTCTTTCTTTGATCTGTTTGTGGTGTAAATCTAATGAGCTGTATTGCTGGGGCACAGGGTGTGCACAGTTTAGAGAAATTAGATATTAATTAAATGATGTTAATAACTGTTGATTTAAATTTAGTTTGTTGGCTAATTGTAATTTTTAAAATTCTAGAATGTATGACAACATGTCCACAATGGTGTACCTAAAGGAAGACAAATTGGAGAAGCTTACCCAGGATGAAATTATTTCTAAGACAAAGCAAGTGATTCAGGGACTGGAAGCTCTGAAGAATGAACACAATTCTATCTTGCAAAGTTTACTTGAGACACTTAAGTGTTTGAAAAAAGATGATGAGAGCAATCTCGTGGAAGAGAAATCGAACATGATTCGCAAGTCACTGGAAATGTTGGAACTTGGGCTGAGTGAGGCACAGGTAGATTGGGAAATGAGTTTGAGCTTTATCTAGATGGAAAAATGGAGAAGTACTAACATTTGAAATTGTAAGGGGGAAATGAGACACTTGATATTGATGTTAAAAAAAAAGACCATTGTTAGAATTGACATTGATATAAAAAAGGAAGACAATTGTAAGAACTTCACATTAAATGAATTGTATAAATTGAGATGTAGATTGGGAGAGCTTGTTGGATTAAAACCAAGAGACTCAGTCTTGGACTGCTGACTTATGTATATGTTAACGTAGGTCTACAGTATAAAGATGGGTTTTAGAATTATTGACTTCCCTCTTTCTTTTTGAATTTGAATTCTTCAAAAAAAAAAAGATACAAATTAAAGCACTTTGGCTTTCTTTTGGCCATTTATTTATTTTGTTCATTTACCAATTGGCTAAAAAAAAAGCTGTAACTAGTTTATGTTCAGAGAAGAATTTATTTAGTATCAGATGTGACTATGCCTACTCTAATTTTAAGACTTTTTTTTTCTATTCATGTTATGAGTTTTTAATGTAGGGTTTTGAGTGGTCACTTTGCCAGTTTTTTTTTTTCTTTCCACATTTTATTAATGGGGAGAAAGTTTAAAACTTCGTATAATTTGGGATACATTATTATGAGCCATAACTCTAGTTACATGTTTCATTTATATGTCAGTAGGATGGATTGTAGGAATATACATATTGGAGGAATTAAAATCAAAGAAATATTCACACTTAGCAAATTTTCTGAATTCTTAGCTTAAGAATTCAGTAGAAAATTAGGAAGGTGATGAATGTTATAAGGCACGATTTAAGTTTTTTCTCTGTGTCCTAGGTAATGATGGCCTTGTCAAACCATCTAAATGCAGTTGAATCAGAGAAACAGAAATTGCGTGCCCAAGTACGCCGTCTATGCCAGGAAAATCAATGGCTGCGGGATGAGTTAGCTAACACACAGCAGAAGTTACAAAAAAGTGAGCAATCTGTGGCTCAGCTGGAGGAAGAAAAGAAACACCTGGAATTCATGAATCAGTTAAAAAAATATGATGATGACATTTCTCCATCAGTAAGTAGCTGTTTATTAAAAATCAGTTCATGTTTATAAGATACTAGAAGTTTTCAGTTCTAAGGTATTATGAAGCTGTATGTTTCCTTTTGTGTAAATATTCTTTTCAGTGTGATTGTTACAGAAGAGGCTATTACTATCTTTGTGCTTTTGTAAAAATCTGTGACTTTCTGTGCCTTAATTACATTTTCTGTTAAATGTATATAATTGTTCTTACCTTTCACATGTGTTAAGATCAAATGAGATGATTGTTAAAGCGTTTTTAAAATACAAAACATTAAAATGGCAGTATTTTATTTGTTGTTTCTGCAAATAATACATTTTAGATGGCAACTTAGAACTCCTAGAGATCTCTGGTTCAGAAGGGATTATGTAGCCTGGAACTTCAGAGTATTCATTTAAATAAATATTTATTAAGTGCCTACATTGTTATTAGGGATACAAAGATGAAAAACCATATAGTCCTCAAAGAGCTTACTTTACTTTTACTTTTACTGGGTAGAGAGAATGGACTTTTTGATTGTAGAAAAAAGGAGAGCTGGATGCAATTAGACTATATAGCATGTAGTTCAGTTTGGCAGGAGTGTAGACTGCCTAAAGTAGAGTAGAATGAATTGAAATTGGAAAGATAGGTTGGAGCCCAGATTATTGAAGGTCCTAAAAGCCAGGTTAAGGGACTTGTATTTTCTTACAGTAGGTAATGAAGAGCCATTGATGATTTTTTTTTTGAAGCAAGGCAATGATAGGGTCAAGTTTTTGCATTAAGAAGGTTAATTTGGCAACTATGTGAAGGATGGATTAGGGAAGAGAGAAACTACAGGCCAGAAAATCAGTTAAGAGATGATTACATAAATCCAGATGAAAGGTGATGATGATGATGAGGGCCTGAACTTCATTAGTGGCTGTCTAAGTGGAGAAGAGGGGAATTAGATACAAATGATTTTGTGGACAGAGAATGCTAGGACTTGGCAAATGTTTGGAGGGAAATGTTGAGATGTGAATGGAGAAGAGAGGAATAGATAACAAGTGATTTTGTGGACATAGAATGTAGGATTTGTCAAATATTTGGAGGTAAATGTTGAAGGGAAAGAGCAGAGTAAAAGATAAATTTATGGTAAATCATATGGATTTTGTTACTTTTGTTATTGATATAATCAGTTATGTTAATAGTTTTTTTTATGTTAAGCCATCCCTGCATTCCTGTCATAAATCCTACTTCACTGTATAATATTTGTGATATATTGTTGAGTTTCCTGGCTAGTTTTTTATTTAGGCTTTTTGCATCCATATTCATTAGTGAAATTGGTCTGTGATTTTCTTTCTCTGTTTTTGCTCTTCTGATTTTAGGTATCAGCCACCATATTTGTTTCATAAAAGGGTTTAGTAGGACTCTTTTGCCCATTACTTCAAGTAATTTATTTAATATTGGAATTAGTTGATTTTTAAATGTTTGGTAGAATTCACTTTTAAATCCACCTGGTCCTGATGTTTTTTTCTCAGGGAGCTCATTTATGTAGCCTGTTCAATTTCTTTTTCTAAAATAGGTTTACTGAGATATTCTGTTTCCTCTTCTGTTAATCTAGACAGTTTACATTTTTGTAAGCATTCTTCTATTTCACTTAAATTGTTGAATTTATTGACATATAATTGGGCAAAATAACTCCTAATAAGTGCTTTGATTTCATCTTCATTAGTGGTATATTCACCCTTTTCATTTCTGATACTAGTAATTTGGTTTTCTTCTCTTTTTTTAAAATCAGTCATATTAACCAATAGTATATCTATTTTATGGTTTTTTTTCCCATAAAACTAACCCTTAGTTTTATTTATTAATTCAGTGGTTTTCTTACATTGAATTTTATTAATCTTGCCATTAATTTTTAGGCTTTCCAGTGTGATGTTTAATTGGGAATTTTTATTGTTCTTTTTCTAGTTTTTTAAATTGCATACTCAATTCATTGGCCTGCTCTTTCTCTACTTTATTGATGTAAGCATTTAGAGATATAAATTTTCCTCAAATTACTGCTTTTGCTGCACATCCCATAGGTTTTAGTATGTTGTCTTATTATTGGAATTAGTCGTTTTAAAAAGTTTGTTCAGCAACATTGTTGCTTGCTCTGAAAAAGAGTATTGTCAAGATTATTGCATAGTGAAGGAGCCATGTAGTATGATGGTTGTAGGGCTCATGTCTTTCAAATAAGAAGTCATTAAAAATGAACCTTTGGAAACCTAGGATTGAAAACTAGTTACGATTCTTCCATTATTCAGAACACCTGGAGTAATTGCAGGGATTTGTACAGAGACATATCTTTCTTCCATAGTCCATCATGGCTGTTCCCATTTGATAACTCGGGCTTTTTCTAACTGCTGTGGCTGCTCTTGGTGTCGGCATTTAAAGCTGCAGTTCTGTTTCAAAAAATTTTGCTATTTTTAATTTATTTATTTTTAGTTTTTAACATTCACTTCCATAAACTTTTGAGTTTTAAATTTTCTCCCCTTCCCTAAGACAGCATGCAGTCTCTACATATACATTCAGATTTAAACATTTTCACATTAGTCATGTTGTAAAGAAGTATTAGAACCAATGGAAGGAACCACAAGAAAGAAGAAACAAAACGAAAGAACAACAACAAAAAAGAGAGCAAATAGTATGCTTTCATCTGCATTAAGACTTCAAAGTTCTATCTCTGGATGTGGATAGCATATTTTTCATCACGAGTCTTTTGGAGCTGTCTTAGATCATTGCATTGCTGAGAAGAGCCAAGTCTATCAAAGTTAGTCACACAATGTGGCTGTAACTGTGTACAACACTCTCCTGGTTCTGCTTACTTCACTCGGCCTCAGTCCATATAATTCTTTCGAGGTTTTTCTGAAGTCCGCGTGCTCACCATGTCTTATGGAACAATAGTATTCCATTATATTCATTTACCACGATTTTTTCAGCCATTCCCCAATTGATTAGCAGCCCCTCAATTTCTGATTCTTTGCCACCACAAAAAGAGCTGCTATAAATATTTTTATACATGTGGGTCCTTTTTTCCCATTTGCATGATTCCTTTGGGATACAGACCTAGTAATAGTATTTCTGGGTCAAAGGGTATGCACATTTTTGTAGCTCTCTGGGCGTAGTTCCAAATTGCTCTCCAGAATTGTTGGATCAGTTCACAACCTCACCAGTGCTTCATTAGTGTTCCAATTTTCTCACATCTTCTCCAACATTTATCATTTTCCTGTTTTGTCTTGTTAGCCAATCTGATAGGTGTGATGTGGTCCCTCAGAGCTGTTTTGATTTACATTTCTCTAATCAATAGTGATTTAGAGCATTTTTTCATATGACTATAGATAGCTTTAATTTCTTCCTTTGAAAACTGCCTGTTCATATCCTTTGACCATTTGTCAATTGGGGAATGACTTATATTCTTATAAATTTGATTCAGTTCTCTAGATATTTTAGAAATGAGGCCTTTATCAGAGATACTGGTTTTAAAAATTCTTTACCAGTTTTCTGCTTCCCTTCTAATCTTAGTTGCATTGACTTTGTGCAAAAACTTTTCAATTTAATCTAATCAAAATTATCCATTTTGCATTTCATAATATTCTTTATCTCTTGTTTGGTCATAAATTCTTCATTTCTCCATAAATCTGACAGGTAAACTATTCCTTGCTCTCCTACTTTGCTTATAGTATTCAGCTAAAGCTGCAGTTCTAAGAACATCAGCATTAATATCCATGATGTCATCAGAACTTGCAGTGGTTTTTCCAGTGAACTCATTTTGGCTGCTAGCTTTTCAAATGAGTCTCCCTTAGAGCTTTGTACTCTTTGAAGTACAACTTCTGCACTCCCTCTTTAATAGGTCACTCTTTTGAAATGCAGTCCTCCCCTGCTCAATTTTTTTCTCAATTCCCCATGTCATTTTGGGTATTGATATTACTTTCAGACTCAAGGACAACTTTTATGCCCCTCCTAAATATTTTGATTCTAAAGGCCTCTCGCTCCAAATGGTGATATCAGCAAGAAGTTGAAAGCAGATTTCATAAAATCATAGAATTTTAAGCTGGAGGGGAGCTTAGAGATAATGTAGTTTAGTTTAATTGAGTTTACAGATGAGAGGACTAAGGCTAAAAGAGGTTAAGAGACAAGATAGCACAGCTAGACTACAGTTGAAAGGGACTTCATATATTATCTAGTTGAATCCATACATGAACAAGAAATCTCTGTAATTTCTCTGACAAGTGTTCAGTACCCCCTGGGCAGGCTGTTCTACTTTTTAGCGATTCTGATTGTTAAATTTTGCCTTAGATTTTGAGGTAAAGTCTTTTTCTTTTTTAACTTCACCCTGTTGCTTCTAGTTCTGCTGTCTCAATTGGGGCACGACAAATTTAATTCTTCTTCTTTTGAAGAGATAATCTTTCAGATATTTGAAGATTGCTGTTAAGTCCTACCCAGTCTTCTGTTACCTCAATTACTTAAGCATTTCCATTTCCTTTAGCTGAAGACTGCCTATATGATATGCTTTCTAGTTTCCTCACCATTGTTCTCTTGAATTTGTCAGTAACCTTTCCACAATGTGGTACCCAGAACTGATATGGTATAACAAGGTCAGGAAATAGTTTTGGATGATATAATTTCATTAATACAGCCTTTAGCCTTTTGGTTGCTCTGTCATACTGTTGAGTCATTGGATTTGCACTCCCCCAAAATCTCAGTATCTTTTCCCATGTGTCCTGCTGCTTAGCCACCTTAGCCTTATTCTGACCTTGTGTAATTAAAAAAAAATCTAAGTGAAGGACTTCGTATTTATCACTATTAAGTTTGACTTTACTAGATTTTGCCCATTTTTCTAGCATGTTTAAGAGCTTTAATAACATGTTGTAGAACCAATTTATACATATGTGGCACATTCCATTAGGGAACTTCCTCCAGGTTGACATGGATCCATTTATTATCATCCTTTAAGGTCATTTGTTCAACTAGCTAGTTAATAGTGGAACTGAAATTAGAACCTATGTCTCCTTGGTGTTTTATTTGCTACACCATGCTGCTGAATAAGTCACAGTGTAGATAATGGATTGATTATTTAATCTTTAACAAAACCTTTTATTAAAATGTGTGTTATGCCAAATGCGTTAATAAGAAATTTATATAGCACTTAAGGTTTGTGCTTTGGGAATTTTTTTTTTTATAGGAGGACAAAGACAATGATTCTACCAAAGAACCTCTGGATGACCTTTTCCCCAATGATGAAGATGACCCAGGTCAAGGAAGTAAGTGAAGAGTTATGTCCTGAAATAAAATGAGAAGCATATTTGTCTTATGTGGTATATAGTTGTAATTTCTAGTATCATATGGGAGATGTAGTAAATGTAGCCTGCAAAACAAAGTACATATTTTTTAGCATTTATGATGTTTGTGTTTCTCATTCATTTATAATGTGTTTCTTGTGTTATGATAAAGCCTCATTAATTTAGACCCTGGTAATATAGAACTTGCAGTAACAATTGACTCATAGTAACGTAAGTAATTGTTTTTTTGTTTTTGGGTTTTTTTTTGGAATTTTTTTTTTTAAGGCAATTGGGGTCACTTGCCTAGGGTCACACAGCTAGTAAGTGTCAAGTGTTTGGTCTGAGGCTGAATTTGAACTCAGGTCCTCTTGACTTCAGGGTTGGTGCTCTATCCACTGCGCCACCTAGCTGCCCTGAGTAATTGTTTTTGAATAAAAAGCTCAACCTTTTTTTTTCTCTCAGGGAGTTTTTGGAGTCATACTGATGAATAGAATTTATTGTTATTAGTGGATTTTTTTCAAATTAGAGGCTCAAGAATGTAAGTTTTCCTTTGGTTGGCTTGAATTTTTCAGTTCATTCGTCCTTATGTTAAATTACTTTTTGTTTATTGATGTTATTATGCAATTCTGGACTGTTGTGAATTATGATTTTAAAATTAATTTAATCTTCATATTATAAGGTTTTTTTAATCTAGTTTATAAAATATTTGGTATTTGAAAGTAACAAATTGACTTTTTTAAAAGTTATATAACCATTCATTGTTAGATAGGCTTTCTTTATTGTTACAAAAAAATAAGACTTATTGTATTCTGAAAGAATATATCAGTTTTTTGTTTTTGTTTCTGTTTTTAGTTTGTTTTGACTTAAAGCAGGGCTTAACACCTAAAAAAAGAGAGAATATGGCTTTTAATTTTAAAATTATCAAAGAAATTTTGTAGTATTTGTAGGGTCATAGGATATAAGTGATCTTGGACGTAGTCTAGTCCAGCCCCCTCATTTGCCTTTCTTATCTTGCCTTTGTATATGGAAAACTAGCCCTTTTTAACCACAGTATGCAAAATTTTGGTTTGTCAGAGTGATACTACAGATAAGTGTCATTTCTCCCATACTTTTTGTAAAAGAACCTTGACTTTGCGTACTAAAGGTATAATTATTCATTGATATTAAAATACACCACTGATTAGGCATGCCTTGAAGCTGTTGTCCTGTTTCTTGTGTTTAGGGGACCCTGCAGGTCTGAGGCCTTAATCAAAAAGCTGTGCTGCAGGGATCCCAGTTGTCTCCATAATTAAACACCCTTGTTACCCAGTTTCTGTGATGCGTAGTGGGGGACAAGGCCTTAAAGCCACTCTTCTATAAAATTCTTTGTAAGAAGTATTGTAGTACTTACTTAGATAAGCATAGGCCATGATCCCAAAGGCAGATTTCCTAGCTTTATGAAGCAGGGCCACGTCTTTGTGCTATGGCAGCTAGTTGTGAAGTAACAGCTCCTAAAGTAAGTAGCTAAATAGGATAGATGTTTGGGGAATTGACTGTATTTCTGTTTTGTCCCTGTTCTTAAAAATCATTTTGATGTAGCCATGTAATTACAGCTTTTATATACATGCATACATACATACACAGACACATATAGGCAAATATATACATATTTTAGCCTAGACCTGTGATTTCTTTAGTGCAGGGAACTCATTGTATGGAAACTTCTAACAAGTAGAATGTAGTTCATGGATTTACCTTTCAGTTAGAAAGTTGCCTGGGGCACTAAGAGATTCTATCTGACTTGCCTGTGGTCATACAGTGTCAGAGGCAGGACTTGGACTGGTCTTCCTGACTTCACTCTGCACTCTTTTCATGGCCCCCACGCTGCCTCTCATATTTACTTCAAAGTAACAAATAGAAGAAGAAAATACTGATTTTTATTGGATTTGCAGTAGATGCTTACATTATGTTTGCACATGGTAATAGGGTTCTATTTTATTTTGTGTGACAGCTTAGGTTAATATAGAGTGTTTTTAGTGTACTGACTTTTAAAAAATCAACTGAACTAAGTTTTGGGATAAGATTAAATGGTATAACACACCAGATATTCTTAACAAAACTACCTTCATTATGTTCATTGTGATAATTGTTTTCTTGATTAGATTATGAATTTTTCTTTCATAATAAATTATAACTAAAATAATTTCTTTTGTAGTTCAACAGCAACATAGCAGTGCAGCTGCTGCTGCCCAGCAAGGGGGCTATGAAATTCCAGCAAGGCTTAGAACTCTTCATAACCTTGTTATTCAGTATGCTTCCCAAGGTAGATATGAGGTTGCCGTACCATTGTGCAAACAAGCACTGGAAGATCTTGAGAAGACTTCTGGTCATGATCACCCTGATGTTGCCACCATGCTAAATATCTTGGCTCTGGTATACAGGTGAGTGTTTCTATAGTCATTTGTGCCTTTGTTAGAAAAATTAAAGGGGAAAAAAACTCTGAAGATATATTTTTTTAAAAAATAAGCCTATCTTGTCTTCTACTAATTTATGTTTTGGTTAATCTTTGTACCTTGGAAACCGAACCTTGATTCAGAAAGAAGAATGCTCCTAGTATCTTGCCCTCCATCTGAGTTAACTTACGGCAAAGAAACCAAAACAAAATAAAACCCAAAATTCAGACCTGCCCTAAGGTGAAGGAGAGAGGGATTAGAAATTACTCATAGCAAAATTTCTTCTCTTGGGTAGTTCATTTCAGTAAATTTATGCATTTCTATTACGTGTTCTGATATTTCTCTTTATTTGACTGGAAAATTGAGTATTTCATAGAAACATATTTAGTAAGGTAAGTTTTTAAAAGTCAGTGGTAGATTCTTGTTCTGGTTTATCTTTTAAGAAGATAAATAGTTCCTAAAATTAAAAGATAAAACAAGACAAAAATCTACCATTGATTTTAAAAACCTAACTTGCCAAGTATTTATTTCTATGAAATAAGTTTTTTGCACAAATATGAGAAATGTCAGTGCATATAAGTTTATAGTGAAGAGTGGCAGATAAATCCCCTTGGGTGTAGTCTTTGAGTAGGTTCTCTTTTAATTATGTAAGTAGGCTCAGCAATATTCACTCTGTTCCTTTATGACATTATATAGAAATAAGTCACATTGGGGCTTGCACCCCATTTACTGATTATGTCTCCTGTTACTTTTCATTAGTGATTGCTGATAGGGAAATGTAATTAAAGTTGGCAATCAGTTCTAATCATTGCTGATGAAACTGAAGCCATTGCAGTAACAATTCTGGAAACTTGGATGATTTCACCAGGAGTAGTGAAGTCTTTATTACCAAAGAAAACTTAGCATCTTCAACTAATATGAAAGATTGAGCTGTACATGCCTTATCTTCTGTGTCAGGACCTAGTTTTATTGTTTATTGTTATTCTTGAAATCACCCCAACTTATTAGAGTCATTTGGGAAAATCTCAATGAGTTATAGAACTTAATGTCTGTTTTTAAATTTAGAGATCAGAATAAATACAAAGATGCTGCTAACCTACTAAATGATGCACTGGCTATCCGTGAAAAAACCTTGGGCAAAGATCATCCGGCGGTTTGTATATTTTTTTTTCATCCTTTTGATGTATTATTTTCCCTACTATGCTTTACTCAACTCATTTTAATATTAAACTCAACAGGAAAGGGTTAAGACCCGTCTATTCATTAGATGGTAAAGGTAGGAGCCCTCCCTATACTGATTACCAATTACAAGTCCTAAGTATTCTTCACAATATTTGCCATATCCAAGTGCACATGTAATCTATTTAAAGCAATGTATCACACAAAATGGGCCAAATACCACATTTTTGATTCTAAATCAAACTGCATGTACTTGTGAAAAAAATTTCTAAAGTTGTATTTTTACTTTTTCCCCCTTCAAATCAGCAGTAAAGGCCCATGAATTTTTATTTTTTTGGTTTGCTTTATTGCTTCTAGCAAAACATAATGTTGAGATCATGCTATTCTTTGTGATTTGTTTAATTATGTCAATAATATGTTGCTTTACATAATTTACCCTACAGTGAGGCACTCTTATTGTACCTAGACTTATATATAATATTTGTTCCATATTGGACATACTCCTTTGGGATATATAAAGCAGAAAATACCTTTATGATTTGATTAAATACTTATTTAAAGTAAAATTAAGAGTCCTCTACTGTACGTTTAGGATATAATTGAATCTTAACTATATATGTCTTCACATATTAGTTTTGGTCAGTTTTATTGTGTTTAATGTTTATACTTTGACAGGTGGCAGCAACTCTGAATAATCTTGCCGTGCTTTATGGTAAAAGAGGGAAGTACAAAGAAGCTGAGCCTTTGTGTAAGAGAGCCCTGGAGATCAGAGAGAAGGTAGGAAAGACCAGAGCACATTGTGATGTCCTGAGATTTGTATTCTTTTCTTGCATTTTATTTTCAAATATTCACAGATCCCCAGGATGGTAATTGTATTTCATTACTGATTCTTCACTGGGAATAAATTGTGAAATTGAATGTCCTCAAAGCCTTGGGAGTGTATTCCAAATACTGGGTATGGGAGTATGAGAATGGGGAGCAGTTTAGGATAAGGTAGGTATTTAGGAACTAGGAAGACATAAGTCTTCAGGAGCTGGCTTTATTTCAGAAAAGATTTTTAAAAAGAAATTAATAGTCAGAAGGGTTTAGGAGGTGGAAAGAATGATGCCATCTTCTTTAAGAGAGAAAAAGAATGATAATCAATAATAATACATTTCAAAATGTATTTATACAATATTACATTAAGAAATTAATTTTATTAAGAAATTTGATAGCAAAATAATTATTTGCTCAAAGAGATTAGTTTAATATACTGGTACTGTAACTTTAAAAAATATACTCCTAAAGGATTTGAATTGTAAACAGAATTTCTGGGACAGAGAGTTCCAAAGGGTAGAAAAAAAATGTAATATTCGATATAATTTTATTTCTTTTTATTTATCTCCATTTTATGTGTAGTTGGTATTGACATACATATTAAAATGATTGGTGGTGATATAAGGAGAATTAGGTACGAGGAATAAAAAAGGGCCCACTGTGATATAAAATTACATAGGCACATCTTTATTATGGTGTCATTTAGTAGAATTACATAAAGTAGTCAAATATTGAGCGCTTTGATGTTGAATTTTAAAATACAAATTGGGAAGAAATAAATGTACAAAAATACTCAAATCGAAACTGAAATTTAAATGACTGTCAAGCACGAAGGAATTTTTTTTTCCTAATATAATATGTGTTTTTATTTTTAGGTTTTGGGAAAAGATCACCCAGATGTGGCCAAACAGTTAAATAACTTGGCCTTACTCTGCCAGAACCAGGGCAAGTATGAGGAGGTAGAATATTACTATCAAAGAGCCCTTGAGATCTACCAGACAAAACTGGGACCAGATGACCCCAATGTGGCCAAAACAAAAAATAATTTGGTATGTAGATGGAAATTAACTTAGAGTATATCAGAGTTCCATTCAGTAATTTGACTTTTAGTTATTTACATTAAGATATATTTCAGTTTTGCCTAAGGGATGCCTGTTATGTTTTGTTTTAAATAAAGGCATCCTGCTACCTGAAGCAAGGGAAATTCAAGCAGGCTGAAACACTGTACAAGGAGATTCTCACTCGTGCACATGAGAGAGAGTTTGGCTCTGTAGATGGTAAGAAATTTAGTTAGATTTATAATGAAATACAATAGAGTTTGCTATTTTAAATAATTGTTTTAAAAATGAGTGGTAATTTCCAACAGTGATTTTGTGACATTCAAAAATACCACTAATGAAGGGGGAGTAAATAATTCTTAGAACAAGTTTAACTGGGATTATCTTTGATTTAATTGATATCTATATCTATATTCATGTAGTTATATCTATCATATACAACATCAAAGGCCACTAGTCTTTTACTCTCATCTGTTCTCCACATCAGTGTTGTTAAACTCAAATAGAAATGGAGTCCACTAAACTGTACATAAGGATTCCTGCAGGCCACATATTTTCACACTTAGAAAACCACATATTAACATTATCTATGTTCTGTTGTGTGTTTATTTTGTACGTTTAATTGGGTTCAACCGGACTGGGGAATGTTGCCATTGCCAGTAGAATTGACAACTCTACATAGGGATTTTTCTTTTCTTTTTTCTTTTTTTTTGTCTTTGTTTTTATATTTTATTTTATGTTATGTTTTTCAAAGGGATTTTTCTAAAGGACAGTTCTGACACTGCCACTCCTATACTGAGTAACTCCAGTAGCTCCCATTGATTGCAGGATCAAATATTATTTCATATTTATCTTATCCTTTTTAAACTTCTATTTTTGGGTAAGTTATATACTATACATAATTATTAATACACTAATTATCTGTACATAATTTATAAATAAGTAGATAAATGCTCAAAAGTTTTGTGATATAGCTAATACATACACATATTAGAAGTACATGTGTAAATGTTTTTTTACTGATGAAAGTATATGATCAGAAAGTTTAGAATCTAGGTTACTCTTTCTCCTATGTCAATGACAAGGTTCAAAGTCTTTCTTTCCACCTCAGTTGCTGACCTTATTTTGATTATTTTGTCTTTCCAATTACTTTCCCTTTTTTTGGCCTACATTTTTTTCTTTTTTATAATTAATTTTGAACTTAAATACAAAAAGACAAAAGAAAAGAACATTTCCATGTATGCAGCACAAGAATAGGATTCAATATTCAATCACGAATTTCTGTTTTACATTGTTTACTTTTTTGAAAAACTATGTAATGAATACTATATGTCGTTTTCAAAGCTGCCCTGTTTTTCTGTGCTTTCTTCTAAGTTTTCTTTTGTTCTCTGCTATGTACTTTTTACTCGAATCAACCACAAAGTATCTGTGAAGGAAGCTGCTATCCACATCCAGTGAAAGAACTATTGAGAGATGTTGTAGAGGGAAAAGTGATATATTGGCATCTGGTGTGATATTGGGGGTGATGGAAAGGGAAGAGTCAAAGATAATGCCAAAATGAAAGTGACTGAAGGATGGTGACAACATTGAAAGAAATAGAGAAATTTTAAAGAGGGGGGTAGATGGGGAGGGAATCTGTAGACATAATGACTTTGAGAAGTCAGCAGAATATATCTAGGAGGAGATGTTCATACGGAGCTCAGAAATTTGGAACTGGAATTCAAGGGAGAAAAGCAGAATGGATATACAGATTTATCGTGTAGAGGTGGCATCTGGGCTGTGCTTTGAAGGAAGCCAAAGAGTCTATGATCCAGAGATGAGGAGGGAATAAATTTCATACATGAAGGACTCCCTGTGCAAATGCAGTGGTGGGAGATGGACCGTCATGATGTTTGAAGAACAGCAAGCAGATGCATTTAACTGGAATGCAGGGGACATGAAAGGGGCATAATATAAAATAAGACAGGAAGGATAAGTGGGAACCAGGTTGTGGAAGGCCTTAAATGTCAGACTTAATCCTAAACGCAGTAGTGGGGAGCCATTAGAAATTTTAAGTCAGATCTGTGTTTTAGGGATATCAAAGCAGGGCACCCATTTAGGAGGTTATTGCAACAGTTCAGGCAAGAATTTGGGTCCTATTTACATGTAGCACTAGCTTAGTAGTTACATGCAAAGATGGTGAAAGATGAAGCACATACAAAAGATACCCCACACATGATGCATTTAGCTCTGTTTTAAGCTGTTATTCTAGTGTCTGATAATATCCACGTGGGGCAGTACTAAGCCTCTGTCTGAGGTCTCAGATTTTTGTGAGTTTTAATTTTTTTTGTTGAATCTCTTTAATTTATTTAGAAAACTTATCATATCCACAAATGAATAAAAATAAATTGAAGGAAAAAAATTCCAGGCTTGATTCAATGCTGGAAAAACTATATTGGATAGATATATCGAGAGAACTGAATTGGAAAATAGAGAATATGGTTTTCATTCATTTGTATGTACAAAATTCACAATAACTGATCATGTTCTAGGACATGAAGAAGCCATAGATACATTTAGAAAGGCTCCCTGTGTTTCAAAAGAATGCTTTTGAAAATATTCTAATTGATCTCATTTTCTCCCTTAGGGAGACAGTGGACAGAGCTTTCCACTACAGAGGTAGCAGACTACACTAGAGTTTGTTTTTTATTTATTTATTTTTTTGCCATAATTTTGCCATCAAATAGCTAAATAATCTTGGGCATGTCATTTCTACTCTATAGGAATCCATTTTCTTTCTTTGTTTTTTAATATCCTTTTAAAAAAAATAGGTATTTTTTGTTTTTACATCATCTTATGTATGCCTCTCCATCCTCTCCCAGTGTACCGATAAAGAATTTTTAAAAAGAGGAAGGGGAAAAAAATAGCCATTCAGAGCTAACCAACATACTGAAAAAGTCTTAACATCATATGCAGTGTTTTACACTTGTGATCTTCTACTTTGGCAAAGAAGTGAGCCTCCTATTTTCTAATCTATAAAAAGATTTAGAATTAGATCTAAAATCCCTTGAAGTTCTAAATCCTTGAATGTGTCTGGGTGGAATTGGTGGTAGGAATCTCTATATTTCCTTTACTGTCTTTAAAATGTTTTCTCTGCATAAATGAGTACACTAATGAACATGATTAAATTTTTCTGTGATAATTTAGGGTCCTATATATAAACTCAGGTTCATCATTCTGAATATCTAATTCAGCAAATCAGTCTTAAGTGCTTATTGAGTTCAAAGTACTGTGCGAGGTGGAGATATATAGATGAAAAATGCCGGTCTCTGTCCTGAAGGGACTGTTTAATAGTGAGGATAAGCCATGTACTTGTACATATACATAATTACAATATGAAGTAGAATGTGTTAAGGGAAGACTTCAGGAGGTGGAGATGTAAAGGATGCATTCTAAGTTCTGGAATAGCTTGTGGTAATGAACAAAGGGGGAATAATGCAGGATAAGACAGGCTAATAGCTAGTACGCTGGTTGTCTGTAATCTATATGGCACAAAGGGGAATGTAGTGAATTAAAAATAAACTTAAGGTGGCTTAAACACATACATACATGCATATATGTACATACACACATATATATGTACAAAGTCCTTAGGGCAGCTAAATGGCACAGTGGAGAGAGAATTCTAGGTCTGGAGTTAGGAAGATCCATTTTCCTGATTTCAGATCTGGCCTCAGGCTAGCTGTGTCACTTAACCCTGTTTGCCTCAGTTTCCTCATCTGTAAAATGAGCTGTAGAAGGAAATGGCAAACCACTCCATATCTTAACCAAGAAAACCCCAAATGGGGTCACGAAGAGTCAGACACAACTGAAAAGCAAAAAAGTCCTTAAATACATATTATCCTATTAAGAGCAATGCAGAGCCATTTGAAGGTTTTTGAGGAGAGTCTGTTAAGTTTTTTTGGTGTTAATATGAAGGATGAGTTGGGGAATGGAGATTAGAGTCAGGGAGGCAAATTAGACTATTATAACAGTTAATGTGAGGAGTGAAGTTTTAAAAGCACTTTTATCACTTATTTCTCACAATATACACTTTGAGGTAAGTACTATAGAGCTGTTATTATGCTCATTTTATGGATGAGGAAATTGAGGCTCTGAGATATCAAATAATTTGCCTGTGGTCTCATAGCATGTAGTAAGGTAGAATTTGAAAACCAGCTGTCTTCTTAATCTGCCGTCTTTTCACCATATTGTCACGCCTGTCTAAATGAGAGCCTGAATTACAAGGAATGGAAGTGCAGAGGAAGTGCTTGGTGTGAGAACTATTTTCACCCATTTAGATGTAGAAAACGAAGGCAAGGGAAGAGTCAAAGATAATTCTGTGCTTGGTTGACTGGGAGGATGGTAGTCATCCACAAAATATAGAAGTGGGAGGAAGGGCAAGTTTCTATAGGAGAAAGTGGTGAGTTCAACTTGGGGCACATGGGGCTTGACATAGTGGTGGAATATCCAGATGGAAATATTTATTAGGCAGTTGAAAATATAGAACTGGAGTTCAGGGAGGAGACTGATGCTAGATATAGTCAGGTAAATAGATGTATGGGTCATCACCATAAAGGGAATTGAAGCCATTGCAGGTAGATGTGATTGCCATGGAAGAAAGGTGGAAGAGATTCAAACACAGATATTTGAGGGGGAATTTCAGGGTCAGTGGCCTCCTTTGGTACTGGAGGAAGAAAGATGAATTACTGCAGGAAACAGCTGTGTTTTGCAGTGTTACATGTGGAAGACTTTTAAGCCAGTGGGATGATTTTGTAGAAGGCTTAGGATGTATATGGAATGTTGTGATTAAAAAAAAATTGTTGATATGAAATAGTTCTCTTATTTGTTTTCTTTTGGTTGTCTCCTGGAAGTAGAGTATAGCCAGAAATTCTGTTTTATTGAGGATCTTGGTTATTCAGGTTTTGGTTTTTATTATACATGCATTTAAATGTATTACTTGCATTTATCTCTCTAAGATTTAGTGTTTGAAGGAAAATCAACAGTTGGGCTTTTTTTGTTTGTTTTTGGATTTAACAGAATGTAAATATGACCACAGTGATTATGGCCTCAAATTATGACATTTAGTCATACATACTGGTGTTATAATGTAATATCAAAACTGGTAAAGATTACTTGTTTAATATACAAAATAAATATTCCAAAGCTTGTTAGCTATATTGTTTGGGCATGTCTTCTTGCAGCCAAATGATTTCTTAAATTATGTTGTTTGCCCCAGGTAACACTATTAGATATACTTTCAAGGTACATTTCTTTTCTTAAAACTAGAGATCCTTTTCTTTTTTCTTTTCTTTTTCTTTTTTTTTTGGTGAAGCAATTGGGGTTAAGTGACTTGTCCAGGATCGCACAGCTAGTAAGTGTCAAGTGTCTGAGGTCAGATTTGAACTCAGGTCTTCCTGACTACAAGGCCAGAGCTCTATCCACTGTGCCGCCCAGCTGTCCCCTAAAGTATATTTCTTTAAATATATTTTCCTCTCACTTTGAATTCTGATAAAAGCTAGCAGACTTTAGAATACCAGCTTTTGTAGTAAGAGTCATAGAGACCATAGAATCAGTTAATCAACAAGAATTTATTAAGCACTTACTATGTGCCAGGTTCTGTGGCTACATTGACAAATGAAATCATTTTTACCTTGAGTCTAAATCATTTGGGGGAGAATACACATGTACAAATAAGGATATGCAAAATGTGTCCAAAATAAATATGAGATAAATTTTGGGGTAGGAGGATCCTAGCTGCTGGGAGGATCAGAGAAAACTTCATGTAGAAGGTGGTGCTTGTATAGAGGTTTGAAGGAAGTAAGGGATTCCCAAAGGCAGAAGTTAGTTAAGGAATAATTATGATTCTGATCACTTGTTTAACTTCTGTATGTTTAGCTGTAAAACTTTTTACTAATATCTATAAACAGCCCCGTTTTTTGCTTTCTGACCTTTGAAGAGTAGAATTGCTTCTCCCACCAGTTTCTATTTTTCTTTTTTCTCCCTACCTCATAGGGGTGTTGTGAGAAAAATGCTTTGTAATAAATCTTAAAGTATTATATAAATGTGAGTAGTTATTTATGCCTTGCTATCTGTTCCATTATAAGAAAAGAATACCTTTTGAAGTCAGTATAACATTATAAGAATGTTCTCTGTTGTTCTTAGTTAATGTCTGATTTTCCTCTCTTCCAGATGAAAATAAACCCATTTGGATGCATGCTGAGGAGAGAGAAGAATGCAAAGTAAGACTATAATATTTTTAGAGGTTGTTCAAGATTTTCTTTGTGTGAGTTCAAGATTAATTGTTATATCATTTCTAATTTAGGGAAAACAAAAGGATGGGACATCTTTTGGGGAGTATGGTGGCTGGTACAAAGCTTGCAAAGTTGATAGGTATGTGTGTTTTACATTGGCATACAATTGAAGTTGTTAGAGATATTTCAGGCATTATACTTTCATTACTTCAAACTTTTCCTCAGCATTAAACTGATGATTTGAAAGTCCAACAAACATTGATTGTCCACTATATACAAAGCATTAGGGATGCAAAAAAAGTTGTTTTGTTTTTTTTTTGTTTTGTTTTGTTTTTAGTGACTCAGTCTCTGACTTTAAGAAACTTTTCATTTTACTGGAGGAATAAGACGTATATAAATTTGTAGCTCCTCTAAAAATCTATTCCAGTACTTTGTGGGTCTCTTTCCACTTGAAACTACAGGCCATTGCTTCCACTATTGAGTTTATTCTTAGTAGTCATTCAGAGTTCATCATTTAAAGCAAAGGCATTTTATGAAAAAGCATTGTGAACACTGTAGTGATGGCCATTTCAGCCCTAGCACTGTTGTGTGGTGACTTTAAAGCCTCTCCCTAATAAGGGCAAGTGCACGCTCTTTAGTGACAGCTAGCTTTGAGCCAGTATACCTACCTAACAGAAAAACAAAGCAAAGTGCCCCCAGCCCAAGGTTGTCTTTCCTTTTAACCAACAGGGTTCTTAAAACTGTTTTTGTGTTATGAAGCCTGTTGGCTGTCTGATAATGTATATATAGTATTATAACAGACTGTTTATATAGGAATACATTTATCAAAGTATATTTTTAAAAAGATCAGTTTCATAGATCCCAGGATAAAAACCCATTTTAACCCCTTGGGCACTGAGATCATACTCTTTCATCTTAGACTATTGATTTAGGATTAGAAATTTCCAAGATCCATGGCTTGGCATGCAAATAAATTTAACTCAGAACAAAAGTTAAGCAAAAAAGGCAAGATCATTATTTTTCATACTTTTGGCTGGAAGTTTTCCTTTTTTATGTATATCAGCAACAAAACCCTCTAACTTCGGTGCTGTGTTGGGGATATATCCTTTGCAGTCACCCACAAGAATGATACAAGGTAGAACATGAAGGGAGTCAAGGATAGACAATATAAACTACTCTTGGGAAGTTTGAAGAGGGAGAGAACACTCTTAGTTGAGTGGAAAGTTGCACAGGGGAGGTGGCAGCTGAGCTGAGCTTTACTGGTAGGTTCCAGTATCTACAGATAAGGAAACTGAGTCCTAGGAAGATTAAGTGACTTTTTCTAGGTAGTAAATGGCAAAGGCAGGATTTGAAATTCATTCCTGTGTCTCCAAAGCTAGCATTTTTTCCATTGTACCATGCTGCCGCCTAACAATTCAGAAAGTCAAGAATGAGGAGGGTGTGCATTTCAGGCATGGGTATGGGAAACAGCATTTAAGAGTTTGGGGAAATAGCTGGTAGCATAGCTTATGTGGGAAGAAGAACATGTGAAATGTTGTAACATGAAGTAATGCTGGAAAAGGTGTGTTGAAGCAAACTTGCAGAAGGACTTAAACATATGTTAAAAACTTTTTATTTTTATCCTTGAGGCATAAGTGAAGACTTTTGAACAGGAGAATAATGTGAAATTAAATCTGTGCCTCAGGAAGACTATTTTGGCAGTTGTGGAAAGAGTGGATTAGAGAGGTGAGAGACTGGAAGCAGGGAGAGGAATTACCAGGGTGGGGAACCTGTGGCCTCAAGGCTACATTTGGCCTTCTAGGTCCCCAGGTGCAGCCTTTTGACTGAGTCCCAGTTTTACAGAACAAATCGCTTTTATTAAGGGAACTTGTTCAGGGAAGTTTGGATTCAAAGGAACTCATTTGAGGACCTAGAGGTTCCCCACTCCTGATTAGGCTATCGCAGTAGTGCACTGGTAAGGGCTGTTGAGACCTGAAATAGGTTAGTGGAAATTTGAGTAGAGAAAGTGGGATGAGTGTGAGTAATGTGGAGATAGAATCTATAGGCCTTGGCAATTGATAGGATATGGACAGGTGAGTGGAGAAAAAAGAATCAAAGATGACCCTTAGGCTTTAGATCTTGGAGACCAAGAGGAAGATGGTGGTACCATCAGCAGAAATAGGGGAATTTGTCAGAGCAAAATTTAGGGGGGAAGTGATAAATTGGTTTAAGACATTGAATTTGGAATGCTAGAGAGATATCCAGGTGGAGATGTTTAGCAGGCAGCTGGAGGTTCCATGATACTGGAGTTGAGGAGAAATTAAGGATAGATATAAAGTTTTTGGAGTCATCTGCATAGATATGACCTCTGACACAATGGATGAAAGGAAAGAGAAGAAAAGATACTGAGACAGCATCTTGGTGTATATACTCACACTTAGGGGTAGAAGATGAGCCAGTATGGGAGACCAAGAAAGGCATATAGTCAGGGAAAAGGAGAACTAAGTGAGACCACTGTTGCAATGTATAATGTTAAAAGTTTTAGAAATGTCCTGAAAGGACAAGAACTAATAAAATATAATTGGATTTAGCAAGTAAGACATAATTGGCAACCTTTAAGAGTAGTTTCAGGACACTGTTGGCGTCAGAAGCCAGATTTCAAGGGACAGAGGACTGAATGGATGATGAAGAAGAAGAAGCAGTGAGTATAACATACTCTTCATAGGAGTATAGCAATGAAAGGAAGAAAGATGCATGGAACTTGATGGAATAACATAGTGGAGGGAAATTTGGTGGTGGTAGTTGTTTTAATAAATTATAAATTTAATAAACCTAAGTAAAAAAAGGTGATTAAGTTCAACAATTTTCTTAATCATGGTAAAATTTAAATAAATGTGCAGAGCAAGGAATAAAACCATTAGAAAACTCTAAATTTGTTATACTGTACATATTGACAAATTATAAGCAAAGAAACAAAAAAAAACTATTTGCTCTTATCTTTTTTTTTCTGAAGTTTTGTTATCTTTAGACTTACTCTTTTTTACATAGTTGTATTCAGTGTTTGTCTAGTGTTGGTTCTGTGTTTCTTGCTTTTCATCCCTTCATATATTTTTCCTTATTTCATTGTATTCATGTTTATACTTTTTATGATGTCATATTTCATTACACTTATATCATTATTTAGCAGTTACTGAACATAATAGTTTGTGCCCAGATTTTGCTATTATCAACAAAGTGGCTATAATATTTTTATGTAGATAAGTTTTTTTTCCTTGTCAAGATATCTTTAAAGGCTTAGCAATAGAATTGCTGGATCTAAGGGTACAATTAATTTTTTGACTTGCTGTAATTGTCTTAGTGCTTTCTCAAAAATTTTCATCAAGTACAGATCTAGCAAGTAAAAGAGTTCCTATTTATCTGCTGCTCTGTCAGTATCAGATTTTATTGTTTTCTTCTGTTTTTGTTTGTTTGTTGGCTGTAAAGTGGTGGTATCTTAACTTTGTCTTGATTTACATTTCTTTGATTTTTAATGAATTTGAACATCTTTTTATGTGGTTAACTATTTGTCTTTTCAAAATGGCTATTCGTGGTCTGTAGGCATTTCTTTATTAGGAATTTCTTCTTACTCTTACAGGTATGAATCAATTCAAGGGAAGGATTTTACTAGGATAGGGGAAATGAGCAGATTTGTAGGCAAGTGAGAAAGGAGTCATACAATTCGGAGAGATACCAGTTAAAAGCGGAAAGGGAATTCACGAGAATGATTAAAGGAGCAGGATCCAAAGGAGATGGCAGGGGATGGAATCAAAGACATTATTGGATGAGTTAGTCTTGGAAAGACAAATTCATACTTTGAGACACAAAGAAACACAAAGATGCAAAAGAGAAAGGGATAGATGAAAATGTGGAGAATTTTTGAGGTGTGGAGGACAGGAGATGACATTTCATGAAGAAAGTCTGTAGTTTTTTTCAGTAAAGTAGGAGTCAAGGTAATTTATAGAAAGAGAGATGAAGATTAGGTGGAGTTGAGAGCTTGAGGAGAGAGGAGAAGCTTAGGAACAGTTGATGTGGGAAATGGAGAATAAGAGTTGCATTAGAAATGTTTGCTCTCTAATGAGGCTCAGTTGAATTTAGATAACATGAATTTGTGTTATATTCAGGTGGCAGTTTTGTGACTTTATCTGGAAGCATTCAGCAGCTTGAAAGTAGGAGCAGAGAAGGCAGATAGTAATCAGCTTGATCCAGATTTGAGAAGTAATAGAACATTAACAGTGGAAGGACCAGAAAGAAAGGATGGAGAATAATGCCTTATTGAACTGGTTACATATTAGGGTCAAGACAGAAATGAATGGAAAATGAAATAGATAATGAAGCCATAATAACAGTAATAAACTAGGAGAGAGATTTTAAGGACCTGACATTTCTGTGGAGAGGCAGCAATGGGAAACGGTTATTGCCCTAGCTGGCAGTGGTTCTGATTTACAAGTATTAGGAAGGCTAGGAATTCACTGGCCTTGGGGCAAAGTCCTATGGAAGAAATAGCTTTTTGTCTCTCTGGGGTTATGTTTATGAGATTATGGTTATGAGAAAGGTGTAAGCTCCTTTTTTGGCAGGGATAATTTTTTTTCTTTGTTACCTTACTTGCCTTGTAATGCCAGTTTTGCTGTGATCCTCATTGGGTCCTGTGTCTTCTGAATAGTTGCCTCCCCAATTGATGATTGTTTTTATCTACAGATTACAAAGTAATAGTGAGTACTGCTTCCTGGAATCACTTTGGATAAATACAGTTTTGAACCCACAAACCATCTTATTTCAGAAAGAGACCCATTTTTCTCCAAATAATGAATCTAAAGAATTATCTGAAAGTCAGTCTGATAACCTTGGAAGGCAAGCCAGTATTAAAAAGCATTGTACTTAAATTTACTTGTGACTTTTATTGAAGAAAAAATCTCCAAGAGGATAAATATCACAGGCATCAATAAATACATTCCTCTTGAAAAAATATACATGTTTAAATGGATGAAGTAAAGCATAACCTACTGTATATAGGCTCAAATGAATTTCTGCCTTTTTCCAGTCCAGTCCAATAAACATTTATTAAGCACCTGCAATGTGCAGGACACTGTGTTAACCTCTGCAGATACAATTAATAAAAAGAAAGATAGACCCTTCCCTCAAGGAGCTTATATTCTAATAGGGGAGACAACATACAAAAGGAGACAGGAAAGGGTGGGGGCAGATCCACCTTGAGGACATCTTGTTCTTTGGAATTGAGACCAGGCTGAGCAACAGAGCAATAAATGCGGAGTGGAGTGAGCTGAAAAGTCCACTTTCTGCCCTCTTTTGAAGGTAGGCATTAGGACGAGTTTGATATTCTACCCTTTAGCCCTCAGAGGGGGGAGGAGGCTGAAGGAATTCAAGCAGCGCATCAGTTGCATAGCATTCTTGTTTCATTTCCCTGAAGTTCTTTATAATGCCGTTGAGTTAAAGCATAAGTCAACAAGACATAACTTCTGCCAGTGCCGTTCACTCAAGTCCTACTTTGATGCTGCTTTGTGATATAGAAGGAAGTCTGGGTTCTTAGAGATTGTGTCACTGGGGTACAAGCTCTGGAAAGTTCTAGCAAGCTAGAAAAGCCTTACTTCAGACCTTATGCTAGGCTGTGTATCAGTGGCCTAAGGATCAACCTAGCTATGTTCAGAGGGGTTCATCACCTGTTTAGCCATAGAGTAATGGATTTTTTGGCACCAACAACCTTCAGAAACCAATTTCTAAGTTTACAGAGGGAGTGTGAATTGTGTTGGTGGGGGGATGCTTTCAACAGTTTCAAGCATTGAAATTAGGTATGGTGACTTTGGGTATACACTTCCCTCTGGCTCCCTGTTTCCAGCTATTCTTTATCTCTTGCTCTTGTTCTCTTCCTGTTATAACTAAATTCTAATTAAACCCTTTTAAAGAATCATTTATATTCATTACCTGCATTTCTTCATCTCCTCCCTTTTCCATCTTGCTTCTGACTCAACCACTTTGGCTGAATCTTCTCTCCTAAGTTACTGTCTTTAAAGTGCGAGATCTGATGTCTTTTCTCAGTCATCACCCAGCTTGACCTCTGTACAGCTTTTCACCCTACCAACTACCAGTTTTTCCTGATTTCTCTCTCCTCCTCTTGCTTTGTGACACTGTTCTTTTCTGGTTTTCCTTATCCATGTAATAGTCCCTTCATTTCTTTTGCTGCTTTTTCATTTATTTCCTGTCCGTTAAGTAGAGGGGCTGTAACTCCTGTCTGTTCCTTCCTTCTTTCCTCCTGTCTCCCTATCTCCTTTTCCCTTCTCCTACCTCTTCTTTTTCTTCCACCCTGTTCTTTACCTCTCCTTTCCTTTTCTACCTTTTTTCCCTCTCTTTTTTACTTCTACAATCCTACCTATCCTATTTCTCCCTCTTCCTTCTCTCTTCTTTCCCTTGATTTCCCTTTCCCTTTTCCCCTCCCTCTCATTTCATCATTTCTCATGGGTTAAATTATTCAGTTGACTCTTAAACTGTATAACCAGTTCTAATATCTTTCCTGAATGTCATTTTCGAATCCCTAGCTGCCTGCTAATTATCTCCACGGGTGTTCTCTTACTAATCAAAACTTACCATATCTAAAATGGAACTTATTTCCTTCTTAACTCACTCCTAATTACCCTTTCTTTTGAGGGAACCTCCATTCATGTTACTAAGGTTCAGTGCTCCATCATCCTTGACTCTTTAATCTCCTTCACATTGTATTCACTTACCAAGTTTTAGTGGTTCTATCTCCTCGTCATCTCTTAACAGCCTTTCCTTTCTTTCCACTCACAGGACCACCATTCTAGTTGAGCAGTTTTCTAAACTGCCAAAATAGTATTCATAAAAGACAGGCCTCACTATGTGAATACACTTGCTTTTTAGCATTAAATGCAAACTTGTCAGCTTGACATTTAAAGCTCTCATCTACCTTTCCAGACATTTCTTTTATGCCTCTGTCACATCAAATTTCCAGCTAAACTGGATTACTCTCCCAAATTCAACACTCAAGCTCCCATCACTGCCTTTCCACAATCTGTTCGAAGTGCCTGCAATGTGTTCCTTTCTCACTTTTGCCTCGTAGAATGCCTAATTTCCTTCATAGCTCAGCCATTTCTTAAACAAAAATTTTTCTGGCCTCTAAGTTGTTGCTAGTGTTTTCTTCTTTAAATTTTCCTGTGTTCATGTCATATTCTCCATCAGTAGAGTGTAAGCTTCTTGTAGGCAGACACTATTTTATTTTTGAACACTTTTTTGATTCCCCCTACTGCTTTCAGACATAACTTTGCTGCCATCACTCAGCAGCCTTTCCTTTGAGCTTCACTATATCCACATTTCTCATCCAATTTCTATCCTGTTAGCAGTATCTATCAATCTCTTAAGGCATTCTCCCTCCTTCCTAAGAGTTTAATACCTCGGTCATAATCTTCCTGTCTACCCCAACTCCTTCCCTACTGGGGGACTTATACATCTTGATATCCCCTTTGTCACCCAAATACCCCAATTCCTTGTCCTCTTTAAATCATGTGACCTCATCTCTTTCCCATCTTAATCTCCACCTTTTGTTAACCACTTTATTTTCAAATCCCTGGCCCACTTATCCTATTGATACTAAATAAAGAGTTAATATTTTATCCTCTAGCAACTAGGTGGCACAGTGGATAAAGATAAAGTGCTGGGCCTGGAGTCAAGAAGACTTAATTTCCTCAGTTCAAATCTGGCCTTCAGGCACTTACTAGCTATGTGAACCTGGGCATGTCACTTCACCATGTTTGCCTCAGTTTCCTTATCTGTGAAGTGAGCTGGAGAAGGAAATGGCAAACCACTCCATTATCTTTGCCAAGAAAACCCTTAATGGAGTTACAAAGAGTCAGACGTGACTGAAAATGACTGAACAACAACAACAAAAATCTTTTATCATAGAGGCAGTAGGGGGCCGTAGAGTTTTTTGAGTTGGGGAGTGACATGGTCAGATTTAATTTAAGGAAAATTACCTTGGCAACAGTGTAGATTTAGAATGTGCATGGATACATGCCTAATCTTTTTCCTGAGTTCCAATCCTACATCATAAAACTGCTTGTTGAACATTTCAAACTGATATCTAGGTATCTTGTCTAAAACCGAACTCATTGCTTTCCTCCAAACTCATCCTTCTTCTCTTCTGAATTTCCCTATTTCTGCCAGGGGCACCACCATACTAATCCAATTGTTATACATGATTACTACTTTCCCTCACCCCACACATCCAGTCATTTCCAAACCCTGTAATTTTTTTTCCTCCTTCCACAACATTGTCACTTGAACACTTCATGTGTTCAGTACTCTTGAATGTGCCCCCTTCTTTGTACTCATAAAGTTACAACCCTGGCGTAGGCCCTCATCATTTCTCACATTATTACTGTAGCTCCTAATTGGTCTTTATATTCATTCTCATAACCCCATGAGATAAGTAGAAGTATAAATAATAATCTACAGCTGATGAAATATAGGCTCAGAGAGATTAAGGGACTTGTCCAAGGTTACACATCCCTAGTGATAGAATAAGGATCCTAACCCAGGTGTGTTACTCAGAGTTGGGTGGTCTTTTCATTGCATCACCTGCTTTTGATTTCTCAATCATGCATTTGTGGGGGGCTTAATGGTAGAATACAGGGTAAGTTACTTTTGTGTTATAAAAACATGTTGATGTTTTATTGGGGGTGGAGTGAGGAAGAATTCTAGATCTTGGAAATTTTCCAGCCTCCTTACCTGTACCTCTCTAGTTTCCTTAAAGATTCAGTTCAAGGGCCATTTTCTATATAAGACCTTTCTTGATCCTCCTAAAACCCTGCTCCCTGTCCCCCTAGCTACTATTGCCTTACCTCTCAAATGTATGTGTATATGTATACATATACACACTGTGCAACATATACAACATATATGCACACGTATAAGTATGCATGTGTAAGCATGCATATTGTCTTCCCTGATGTAAACTCCTTGAGTGGAAAGGCTAGTTCATTTTTATCTTTGTGTCCCTTGTGCCTTATACGTTCCTGGCACATAGTAGGCACTTAATAAATGCTTCGTATATGATGGTCTGTTTTGCATATTATCAGTGTATGTTTATTGAATTGATTTTATTTGACTTTTATGATCTTGTGTATAATTCAGTCCAAGAAGCACTTTATGTCCAAAACATTAGCTTATTCAAACATTTAAATAATAGTGCTTCTTGCATTCATTAATTTTATAGTCTTAGTAGCATAAGAGATCAAAAATTGAATACATCTCAAGGAATGATTTTGATTGTTTTGCTAGTCATGAATTAGTTATATACAGTGCTGAGAAAAATCTTAAGAAAAATTTTAAATCTATTTTATAATTTATTAAATATAGCATTAAGTATGAAGGTTATGCCCTGCAACTTAGATCACAAATAGGTTGAGTTTCTAGAGAAAAAAGAAATTTCTAAAGAACTTTACAAATTTTCAAATAATCCAGGAATACAATTTTAATGGTTTCCAAGTTAAATTTTGTACCTAGTCTTTAGAACTATATCCATGGCAGTAGTTACCTTACATTTTTGTTTTCTGCTGTATTATAAATCTGTGTAACACTTATCTTTCTACAGTCCAACTGTGACAACCACTTTAAAGAATCTTGGAGCACTTTATAGACGTCAAGGCAAGTTTGAAGCTGCTGAAACATTAGAAGAGGCAGCCATGAGGTCTCGAAAACAGGTAAGTTTTAAATCTCTCTTGATTTTAGTTTTTATATTTATCAGAACTTTTAATTTAGGTGGGACATTAGATAGAGCATTGGACCTGAAGTCAGGAAGACCAAAGTTCAAACCCAGCCTCAGACTAGCCAGGCAAATCACTTAACCTTTTTCTACCAAAGTTTCTTGATCGGTAAAATTGGGATAATAATAGCACCTACCTCACAGGGTCATTGTGAGGATCAAATGAAATAATATTTTTAAAGTGCTTGGCAGAACTAAATGCTTATTATTATTAATAATTATTATTATCATATCTTATGAAAGTTCCATTTAAAAATTTTCTAAAAGTAAAATGTCAAATTTTTGATTATTATTTTAGTTTTTATAATTAAATCATAGCATCATAGAATACTGGAACCCAAAAGGAATTTAGAGATCACCTGGTTCAATGCCTTAATGATGCAAATGAAGAAACTGAGGCCCATAGAAATAGAGTGACTTTGCTGAGGTCCTGCAGTGCCACCAGTGCCTTTTCCCCTATAACATGTGTTCTGTATAATGTTATCTTGTCTCTGTTTAAATTGGAAGAGTCAATAACTGAGATTTGTGACTCAATACTGACTTCTTAATATATCTTCGAAAATCTTCATTTAATATTGAGGCTCATTTCTGGATTTTTCTGGCATTCAATTATCTTTCACACATACTTTTCTTGGGAGGAAGAAAGTTATTTGTTGAATTGGATGTGATGAGATATTTAGTCATAATTCGAATCCTTGTTTTCTATTTTTCCTGTAAATTGCCAAAGTTCTCCAGAATTTTCAGAATCCTTCTAGAGAGAGTAATCTGAGATAAAATTGCCTAGAAGAAAGTGGGATGATTTATGCTACAAATAATATGAGATGTAGAAACAGTGCATTGGACCCGTGTTCTATGTCTGTGCTACTGTGTGACCTTGGACAAGTCGTCTTAAACTTTGTCTGTACCATTAATGAAATAGGAAGGTTGAATTGTATGACCCATGAGGTCCCATCTACCTCTAATATTCAATGATGTGATCCCATAATTTACGAGTTGTGTTATGATTATTAGTAACATCAACCATTAAATCTAGCATTCAATAAACATGTTATTAAGTACCAGCCTATTGTAACAACCATTCCTGTGTTATTTGTAAAATGAATCAGCAAAGTTTTACAATAGATTGTGTCATGTAATTTTTTATTGGGACCTTTTGTTTTTGTATTACCTTTAATTCCTAATATATTCCTTTTCCTTTAGTACTATATCTAGGGAAATAAGTAGTCATCATGTGGTTTGTCCTTTATAGTAAAGAAAAGCCAAAGTCATATTAAAATAGATAAATTTCATCTTTTATGTGAGCTCCTTTGAGTTAAATTCCATTTTAAACCTAAAACCATTTAGAATTATGTTATAGTACCATTATAGATCCTAATAACTAAAATTCCATTAAAAAAATCATCACACGTAAAATGAACATTATTTAGCATGATACATTGCTTATGAAAATCGAAAAAAATTGTAAAATTGCTATTAACTGAAATGTAGATATGCATTTGTTTTAGCTTTATTTTACTAATACAGTTTCTTCTAGGAGATTATTCTCCTATATTATTTTAATATAAATTGAGGTAGTTAGGTGTAAGTGGCACACAAATGATAAAATTGATAGATGACATTTCAAAAGCCCTCAATAGATAAAATGCTTCATATTCATTGTCAGTTGAGCCTCATAACTGTGTGAGGTAAGTAGAAGTATCTATAGGTAATGAAGTAGAAGTTCAGAGAGATTAAGGGTCTTGTCCAAGGTTATATATCCCTAGTAACAGAATAAGTATCCTAATCCAGGTATGTTACTTAGAGTCAAATGTTCTTTTCATTACACCACTGCCCTTGGTTTCTCAGTCATGCTTTAATGTGGGGTTAATGGTGGAAAACTGAGTAACTTAACTATGTGTTATAAAATTATATTGATTTTTTTTTCCCCAATAGAAGTTCTGGGTCTTGGAAATTTTCCAATACAATTTTAGTGCTGAAATGTAAATCCATTTTCCCCTTGCCTGGCTCATAGGGTCTTGACAATGTTCACAAACAGAGAGTAGCTGAAGTGCTAAATGACCCTGAGAGCATAGAAAAAAGAAGAAGCCGAGAGAGTCTCAATGTTGATGTGGTAAAGTACGAGAGTGGTGCTGATGGAGGGGAGGAAGTGAGTATGAGCGTGGAATGGAATGGGGTAAGTACAGTACACAGTTTGCAAGTATAATGGAGGCAGTTAGCTGCTGTAACACAATCTGCTTTCTTGATAGCCCTTTTTCCATTAGCATTTTTTCATTAGTTTTTCTGGCTCATTTATTTTGGACTTTGTCATTGTTAAAATCAAGTGAGAATTAAGAAAACATAAGATCCTGCCTTTTGCTAATTAATTACTTTTGTTATTATTTCAATTTTTTACTCATTTAAACCAGTTTGAAATGATAATTTTGTTTTTAGGAATTGAAAGCTTGGGCTTACCTATGAGCATTTAAATGCTAATTGAGTGTCCTGGTTATTTAGAGCATAATACATAAAGTGTAGGTTCATTTTAGTATTAGGAATAGTATGACAGTTGACTAATTTGCTTTTATTCACTCATTTTTATCACTAACTTCAGTGTTTTTATTTTGCTGCTTAGACTGCTATAGATTTTCTTCAGTTGAATCACTTAAAAGAAAAATCAATATATAAATTAAAATTGTATAAATGACTGCTTTTTCTTTATACATGTGCTCAGTATACAAATATTGTTCATCTGTCTCCATTTGAGAGAGGAGGATATCCAGAATGGTGCATTTATATCTTATAAAGAGTTTTATTTATTAACTAATTTAACCCATATGCCAGTTCCTATAGGAAAAAAGTGTTGTGGTACCATTTTAATCCTCTTAATAAAGTTAGTTTTAGTTTTTGACTTTTTTTTTTAGAAATGAGATTTCTAAAAACTCAGACTTGAATGTCCGAGATGAATCTTAAATACTAAATATGAAGAACTATTGCCATATTTGGAGCCTTTAATATCTGTGAAAAGCGTTATGTTACTTGAGCTTCATTTTCCCCTTTTACATCACAGGTCTGTATTCTAAAAGAAGCCAAATGTGGCTTTTCATATGCTTCTTTCTTATTAAATGTTTATGATATGAGCAGTTTTAGGTTGTATCTAGCTGTTTTTGAATTTTATTTGCATCAGGTAGTTTTTCATTGCCGGATTTGGTAGAATGTGTCCAGTTGTTTTCTTGATGAAGAGCTACATTGTTAATGCCAGGAACTTTGCACATTCAAGAAAAGGGATGCAGTTTAGTTAGGGGCAGTTCCGTAAAGAAGTTTTTGCCACATTGGTTTAGTGATGGGTTCTCATTAATATCTAACCATTTTTTCCTTTTGATTTAGCATGTTAACTTGTTCACTACATGAATCCATTTCTTTATCAGGATCTTATACATCTATTGCAATTTGATAGAAATTATCCTAAAGGACATTTTTATAAAATCAGTCATGCTGCAGAAATTGCAGGGTGAATCTTCTCATTTTGTCTTAAGCTGGCATTTCCTTGGCATTGGTTTTCTCAGTGCCAGGACAATCAGTCAGCATCCATTTTGATACCCTCACATCTGTCATATAGTGGCCCCGAAAGAAAACATTTGAGTAGTTTATAATATTGTCCACTTGATATTGGAACTGTGTACTGTACTCTTCCCTATAATATGCTGTTTTATTTGCATGCCTTTATATGCTAGGAGTAAATAAAATTCTTTTTACTTATTAAAAGTAAGTGTGTAGATTTTGACATTCTTTAATAGAAGTTCTCGAAGAACTCTTGAGACGGTATTTCTAGGTCAGTATATATTTGCCTGAAAATAGATGATAAAGTCATTGATAACTTTAAGACTGGAAATTACTTAGGAGAATTGGTTTCATTATTTTTGTCAATGGTTATCATTATCACTGTTTTGCCTTATTATGGGTTCTTTCCTCTGGAGGAGTGGACTATATCTTGCTTGTCAGTTGAGATTTCAGGCTGGAATTATACATACTATTGTTACATTTATAATTTTCAAATAAGTAAAGAGTGGTTATCTTCTTAAATGGATTCCTATTTTCTTCCTATTTTTCTCAAGCTTTTTCATTCTACAACTTAGGACCACTGACACTGCAATATTTGGGTGTTATTTTGTCCTCCCTACAAACTCCTCTTAACAGAAACTAACACAGTGTTTTTCTTTTCAGAAGCAATATTCTTGACCCCTTATTCTCTAAGTGGACCAACAGCTTTGATAAAATACATTACAGGTGCATTGTACTTTGGGTTAATTCACTTTTAGCTGCAGTAAATACCATCATGTTACTTTAAGATTCCACAATATAAACTTGATATTGTCCACTTGGTTAATTATATTTTGGCAGCATGGTTCCTCCACCAATAAAGGTGATGAGTGATGGGATGTGAGACCAGAGGGAAAGATCTATGGTAGGAAATAATGGGATGTTTTATGTTTTAATAATATATACAAATTTTTGACCTCACATATGCTGTTATTCAGACAGAATGCAAACATATGGCTTATGTATGGTCGAAGAACGGAAATTGCAACATAAGATTAACATACGTATGTGAATACTCTTTGATTCCACCTACTTACAGAGAGATCAATTACATATTCTTCAAAAATACGAGGAAATATCACTGAGCAAATTCTGAGATTTAAACCCAAATTTTTAACATTAGAATAATAGTTCCTTTGTTTAAGAATATAAATATCTCATTCTGTGAGATTTTAAGTTTTAAGTAAATCTCATATTGAGTTGAAAGAAAATGATTTTTGAACTTGAGAGTATTATTGCTTATTTAAAATGTAACTTGCTTGAAAGAAGTCCTGAAAAAGGCACTTAAAAAGACGAGTTTATTTTGCTTTTTCAGTGTCCCATGTTTCTGAACCTGTAAGAGCAGTATGTAAATAAATATTCTTGATTAGAGTTATTTTTAAATTCTGAATGGAAAGTTGGACTTATTTCTTAAGGGTAGTCCTGTGTTTCACATAAAATGTGAATGTGCATGCATATCATAGACCCTTATGTGTACTACTAATATGGGGCAGTCCTTTTGGGTGGTTTTTGACTACAGTTTAGTGATCATGCTTAAAAATTTACTCTTTCACTCTTGCCTTATCATGAACGCTAGATAAATAATTACAATTGAGCATGTTGAATTCTGCATGAAATATTCTACATAAACTAGAAGTGTTATCTTTCATCTCGTTATCAGAATTGGAAGTTAAGGGTCCATGATTTCCTATTTCCATTTCTTTGTGTAATTATCTTCTTTGAGACGAGGGGAGGGTAGAGCACTTAAAAAGTAAAATTTAGTATAATATATGTCCTAATACCCAATATGATTTGGAGCTTGTTTCTGACTAAAACATTCTGGTTAATAGAGTTTCCTTCTTTTATTAATTTTCTAGATAGATGAAAGACAACATTTCTAGAGTTTTTATTTAGAATTCAAGGCATTTAGTTGTAATTATTTATCTGGTGTTTATTGACAATGAACTACTTAACATCAAACACATGGAATATAGCTTTATGAATATATATGTATATATAGAACATTTTAATATAGGTTTTATACACACATATGTTGTAATAATTGTTCACATTCCTGTAGTGTTTTCAGTTTGTAAAGTACTTTTTGAAGCTCTTCAGGACATCAGTTATAATTATGTTGTAAATAAAGTGCCAGTAAATAGACATTTGCAGGCAATGAAATGCTAGATAAACTGACTTTGTCATAGGTCCCTTACCATTAACCTTAGATGTAAAACCCCAGATATAAGCAACAACAACTTCATTAAAGTGTAGGACTTGCTAGTGTGTGAGAAAATGATAAGAGCAGTACAAGGACACTTCAGCCGAGACTACTGAGAGCCTTTCAGGTTAGCACTCTGTTGAATGTCTAGTTCTGAAATGTTAGAAATAGAACTACTTCAAGGTTCAGCTCTTTTAAAAAGGTGACTGAATTAGAATTAATATTGTTTATATAATACTTTGGAATTATAGTAGAACTTTTTTCCTGAAAAACAGCAAGAGCTTTTCTTATGTTTCTTGTCCTCCCAACATCCTTGGGGAGTTGGTAACAAGTTTTATTTTTCCATTTTAAAGATGAGGAAAATGAAGCTCGGGCTGGTTAAATGACTTGCTCAACGTTCCATGGTGAGTCAGAGCTAGCAAATGAATTCAGGTCTCTTGATTCTGTCTAGGGCTTTTTGCACTAGACTGTCTTGCTTCCATTATAGAGACCAATGACACATTTCTTCCTTTGGAAATTCTGATTTCATAGCTCATTTTATCAGTTGTATGTTCATCTTTTAAAATGTGCCATAGATAATCAGATCAGTGGAACTTTGGTTCCTAGAGATGTCATTTTGCCTGTTAGTTTCTTAAAGAATATAAATGCTTTTTGTTTACAGAAAAAAAAATTCTCCCTTGTTGTAATGAATAGGCTAAGAAAATATTTCTGACAAAAGTTAAAACTTAAATGAATGTACCTTTCATATTTTTAGATTTTTATTTTTTAAAGTTGTAGGGTTTTTTCGTTCCAGAGTGACTCTTAAGTATGATCATTTCCAAAACTTTATTTTAAGAAAATTTTCTAACATACACCAAAATGGTTTGCTTTCATTTTGACGTTGAGTTAACTAGTTAAAACTATAAGTAATAGCATGCCTAGAATCCCTATTTAATTTTAAAATATCAGTAGTAGGTGAAAGTAGTTGCAAGTACCTTTTCTTTTTTAAAAAAGAATTAAAGATTTTGTGACCTAGAAATACTGTAAACAAAGCTATTTTAAGTAGAAAACTATTGAAAACAATTTTTAAACAGTTTCATTCAGATTTTCTTTCTTCATTTCTGTCTAACAGGCCTAGATGCCTTTTGTGATTCTTATACTGTCTCCTGCATGACGGGCGTGCTCCATCGTCAAGCTTTAACTTCTCTCTCCAGTACTGACTGCTGTGCTTTTAGCAAACCTCTATGATTCTTGTCAGAGCTACACTTCTGTGTATACTGGCCCTTCCTTTCAGTGCTGTTGTTCTCTTTGGAGGTTTATTTCTGTACATGTGTAGCTTTGCCAGATAGGTATTTAGTACTACAAAATGTGTTAATAAAACCATTTACTGTGTAACATGAGTTAAAAAAAAAAGTAAGAATGACTAGCTGTTCACTATGAAAAAAAGGTAGTTAAAAGTATCACACAAAGTATTATTCAAATGGCATGATGGTGACCTTTTGAGAATTACTAAACTGTAAAAGTAAGGCATGTGCTCCAAGTGCTTTAAATTGTATTTAGGGACCTATAACTTGGTTAACATCAATATGGAACTCTGGATGTCTTCACTTATGATTATTCTAAAGTAGCATTGCTGTTTAGTCTTTGTGTGAAATTTTGGCAAATATGCTTTTCTCTACTAATCTTTAAGTGTTCAGTGATTTGTGTATCTTTGTCTTTCTAACTTCTAATAAACTCACTCCAACTGACCTGCGTCTTGGTGTCTGTCTGCTTCATAGTACTCTTTCTTCCTTTCACGCAAAACTGTATGGCTTCTAGAAGTAGCAGATAGTTACTGCTAAAACGTACTAAATGATTGATTTTGTGAATAAAAATCAAGTCTTTGCTATATGGTTTTGATTTCCATGCCCAAAAGGTAGAAGATAATGTAAGTTTAATTATGCAAAAATGTCAAAATTGTGATTTCTAAAGCTGAATTCAGATTTGATCTTTCCATTTATGTGAAAGCTAATTTACCATTCATATCCGCAATGAGTTTTTTTGGGGACAACGGCATTCGTTATCTATATTTAACAAAATTATTCTATGAGGTTCATTAAATGAATAGTATACATGAGATGAGTATTGTATTTGATTAAAGGATTAGAAGTAATTTGATTATACCAGGCCTAAATGTCTTAGGTGTTACATCGTTTGCTGGACCTAGTGACTACATTTTTATTAAAGTGGAATTTTGTTTTGATGATATTCCTAGAAGCTTCCTTACTTCTTTTAAAATTTTTGTGTATTGTCCTTTCTGTCCTAATACAGAAATGTCCTTAATTTTTCTCTTTAGGTGTCATTATTTTGGTGTGAATGAGCTTTTTTATGTTACAGTCTTTTGAGGATCATGGATTACCTTTAATCATTTAAATAGTTAGATTTCCCAGGCATTAAAGTCTATTTGCAAATAGTAAATCATTTGGAAAATTTATAGGAAATAGTGACTATTACTTGCAACAACTGAGAACAACTTAATAGTGGAGTGAAATATTTTCATTCAGCTTTAACTGTGGGAGGCTTGGAAGGGTGAAACCCTTGGCAGCTTCACATTTGTTCACATCTTTTTCAGGATGGCACTGGATCTTTAAAGCGCAGTGGTTCCTTTAGCAAACTTCGGGCTTCAATTAGACGCAGCAGTGAGAAGCTGGTTAGAAAGCTGAAGGGAGGAAGTTCACGAGACAGTGAACCAAAGAATCCTGGGTAATTATATTTTCCTAGCTATGCTGATACTTGCCCCTCTTTATCCATCTTGTAAACTAAACAGTGGCCAGGGTAATTTTTTGAGTAGCTTTCTCACAAACTTTGTCACACACAAACCTCTGAAAAACATTCCATTTTAATTGTGTTTCTTTATTAATCAACAGGTTTTAACATCACCTATCCCTGTGTAGATTGAGAAATATTAAATTGATATCCTACTTTAAAAATTGCCTATTTAGGTGGTTAGAGAGAATGTCTTTGAAAGGATGTTATAGAAAAATAAGTTTTGGCTATATCATACAAGTTAAATATTTATAGTAATACTGATGTGCTTTAACTTTAAACAATGAAATGTCAATTTCAGATTAAGATACTTGAACTATTGTTAGTTTTTTTTAAGAAACCCATTTCTTTAGGCTTTATTTTTTTAACATTAGCATAATTTTTATGATAGTGTATCTCTCTCTATATTGTGATTTAATTAAAGCTATTACGTAGCACATAGCAGATAATTGAACTTCCACTTTAAAAAGCAATAGCACACACAAAATGGATTCAGAAAGGAAGGGGGTGGTGGTGGTAGATAGGGTTTAAGCTTTGATTGCAGGGTGGCATGCTGGAAAATTTTTCTCAGGGATACCCACAGGTATTTGTTTCAAGTGCATAACTAATGTTAATCCTGAGAAATATGCATTTCAGAGGTTATGGCTTAGTTTGGAGGACAAAGATATTAAATGTTTTTGAGTGACAAAATTCAGTTTCATCCATTGGTAGTCTTAACATATCACACTTTTGCTAGTAAATAAATTTGTTGTTTCTATTCGATGTTCCCAAAGCTGGCATCCTTTTACTTACCTGCCACCTTGTAATTGGTAAATTGTCACATGACTAGTGTAACTTACCATGTTTTCCAAAGGATTTTTCATGGAAACTCTATTTACCATATTGTTTTATTGTTTGTAATGATAGTTTTAGCATCTTCTATGATGATTGATTTGATATTTTTATATTATTTTCTATGGAGATGTATTTAGAAAGTGAATTCTACTCATCTTAGGCTAAGAGGTCATTTGGATAAGCACAAATCAATAAAGGATCATTATTATAATTCACTCTGATGGATTAATTTGGTGCTTAGCCAGTTAAAAAAAGATTTTCAACCTGATTTCTCTTACTTATTGGCATGTAATTCTAAACTTTCAGAAGTGAATTTAAAGTGAATATAAAGCTAATCTGCTAGTTTCCATTCTATCAGTATGGAAGACTCAGTGTAAATTTAGCCTGCTTTTTAGGTTCTATTTCTGAGGATGTATTTATCTAATGATTAGGCTTTCATATGATAGCTGCTGAGATATCTAGAATATTAAACAAGTATAATAGCTTGCTTTTATGTGCCTTAATTGGTTTGGGCGCACTCTTACCTGGTTGGTTGGTAATGTACTCTGGAAAGCATGATTTCTTTGAGAAAAGAGATGATGCTGTCTGGGAAATTTGTTTGTGAACCCTCTTTGTCTTTAATACTTTGTACTCAGGGGTTCACACTTCAGGTGGCTCCTAAAACTTGTGTATTGGCATATTTTTTCTTGCTCCCTTCCCTCACCAGAAAAGTGTATAGATGGTGCAGTGCTAAGTGCTTTAATTCTAAGTAGCTGTTCATTCTGCTTTGCAGAGATATCCAAAGCATTCTTTAGACATCATGGTATGAGCTTATAAATATCTAACGGTAGAAAGAGGAGAAATTAAAAAAATTTGTGTTTTCAAAATTTTTTACTTTTTGGTGAAGGCCACATTTGGATTTGTGACTCTTCCTCTCCAATTTTGCATGTATTCCTGCTAAATTTGGCATCTGTGCCATAAGGTTATAGCTAAAGAAACTGATGTTTAAAATCAAATTGACTTGCTTTATTTCTAAATGCCTACAAACATTTAGGACTCAAGTGACATTTTAACATCAACCTTTTTGTAAATGCTGATTATCCTGAAACTGATGAATATGTTTCCTAGTGAATTGTGTAAAGGGTGCCAAAACATTTTATCTTCCAGTGGTCAGAGAACATGAGTACTTCTTTTTGTGCCCTGTTTTTTAGGCAATCACCAGATTAAGTTATTTCAGTTTTGTACATGTTTTGAAGTGTAAAAAAAAAAAATCAAATTGCTGAATCTGGCACTAAATGTTTACTGTACAATTTTTTTGTGTTATTCTTCAAGAATGTCTGATTTCCTTGGCGTGGTCATTTCCTCAATAAATGTAGATCAAAATCCTCTAAGACTTGGTAGATAGTCTTTAATAACAATTGTAGCTAAAAAAAAATCATCACTCTAATCTGTTGATGAACTCAGAATTTAACTAGGCTGGTTCTCAGCTGTTCATCATAGCTTGTATGCCTTTCCAGCTTGAGGTCATCTGCTAAAATTTGTGCTACCTTCCACGACATGATGGGGTGTCAGAGTAATAAATTAATGGAAATTGTCATCTTAAATGGCCTTAACAAACTTCATATTTAGAAGCCAGTTTTGCATATTATATGTTCTTTATATGCTTATTGCACCCATAATTAACAGAAATATAAGTGTATGATATCTGTAGGTTAATTCCCATACCTATATACCATTGTAATTTGGTGTGCAATGTAGAAACTTTGTAGACCTGACTGTATACACAATCTATAGATAAAATTTACATGCTAACATTATTATAAAAATGGCCTTGGAATTCTTTTTACTGCTTTAATAGCTTCATATAGAAGTTACTGAAAGAATAACATGCTGAATTTTTTTTTTTAAACTTAAACTTTTTATTTTTGATTTGTAGACATTTTAGGCTTTGAACCATTAAATCTGAATAGTGTTTACTGGTACACCCAATACACAAAATGCTGTCAAAAAGGACATCGATCCCCAAGAATATGATTTTTCTCATTTTAAAATTACTTGATAGATCCTGTACATTTTCTACTATTTCCCCAATTTTTTGTCTCTGTGTTAACTAATTGTTTAAAAGAATAGCTTCAATTTGATTAGGAAGAGTTATAGACAAACCATGTAGAAGAGAATGTATGCTTTGAGTCACATATAATTAGATTTGGAAGGCATTTTAGAGATTACTGAGTCTAGTCCTTATAGATAAGACAGCTGAGCTCCAGATTGGGGAGGGAACTTGTTCATGGTTATACAGATTATGCTTTTTTTTTTTTAAGGCACTTGGGGTTAAGTGACTTGCCCAGAGTCACACAGCTAGTAAGTGTTATGTGTCTGAGGCCCGATTTGAACTCAGGTCTTCCTGACTCCAGGGCCAGTGCTCTATCTACTGCGCTACCTAGCTGCCCCAGATTATGCTTTTTTCATACTGCTACCTTTCCTAAGAACTATTTGGCTCTTTGACATAATTTTGAGGTAAATTGATATCATCTACTTCTGATATGGGTGTATTTGTAACTTCTGCTTCAAAAACATTAGGAAGTAAAGACTGTAACTTTAAATATCTTGTGCTGAATCTTTGTTTTACCTTGACTTTGTTTTTTTTTTTCTTTCTTTGTTTTTGTTGGGGGGGTTATCTTTTGTTTATGCGGGGTGAGGGGGATGGAGAAAGGATTTTGTAGTTTATTCCCTTTTATTATTCCCTTTATATTAATGAACTTTCTTACGGCTTTGGAATGTCTACTTTTAAAAAGTAACACTGAGAGCATTGTCATTGTGCTTGCTTGTTTTGGTTGTTGCTAATCTTCCAAAATGTGCGTCCCTGTCTTAAAGCTACTGACTTAAACTAATTAAATTTAAAATAATATTACTGATAGCTTAAATTATTATATCCCACATCCAGAATTTAAGGTTCCACTTTCAAACATTTAAGATCCTTAATATCAACTATTTTAGACTTTAAATAGGTGGTGGATTCTTGTAAGTTAACAAACTAAATATTAAGATATTGCTTTAAAAATATTAAAAATGTCTCCCAAAATAGTATGTTTAAACAGATAATTGTTTATAATAATAATCTGATTATAAAACCATATAGATTATTCTATATTGGGGAGAATATTAAAGTAGATAATATGATTTCAGAGTAACTTCTGACATATGTAACACATCATGTAGTATGACTTAAAGTATTTTGAATAATGAACTTTGAATTTCTAGCTAGAAAAATTTGGAATTGTTTATTTTTCATAGTCATGGAAAAATAGCCACTATATGAACTGTTCTAGTTTTGCTAAAACAGGGTTAATTTATATAAAAATAGAATTGCTTATCCCAGAAATGAAAATGAAATGAAGCAACAAAGCGGATGTTTCATGAAAATCTTTTCCGAAACATTGAAAAACCTATCTTAGGTGAATTTGGAAAAAATAAAGGTACTTTATAAATGTCACACAAAATAATATGGCTTAAAACATTTGCTAAACCTGATCAGTAAATATATTTTTGCAAAGTTGTTACCATAAAATAGGTTTTGATCAGATATGGCCTACTTTTTAAAGTTAAGCCTATTTTGAAGGATGAATAAAACAACTAGTAAACAAATTTTATTAGGCCACCATACTAAATGTAGATTTGCTGTCTGACTTAATGTAAATCCCAGTCTTCTGTCAGTTTTCAACAGATCATTAAAAATAAATCGTGCCCAAGTAATTGTGCCCCATATATTTTTTCCAAGACATCTTTTTTATTTCAAGTGTTTCCAGTGACACTTAAAACTCTGTGCTGTAACCATGTTTTGCTTATGTTTGGAGAGCTTAGATTTTTTCCATTGTTCTGATTGCTTTATCCTTGCATGTTTGATGTCCTGGTTGCAGCATGAAGCGTGCCAGTTCTCTGAATGTTCTTAATATGGGTGGCAAGGCTGCTGAAGATCTCTTTCAAGTAAGGAGCCCTAAAATAATATTCTTAAATGTGTAAATACCATCACCACAATCTGGTCCCCAAATATTTAACTAGACAGTTAATGAAAGGATTATCATACCTTTTAAATATTTTTATATTAGAATGTTTTAGAAATTAAAAAAAACCTTTAATTCTTAGGCAAATTAGCAAGATAGATAATAAGGTTTGAGTTACATTTTTATTGTCTTTAAAAATCCTCACTACATTAATGAGAAAAATGTTAAAATTTTAAGTAATGTAACTAAACTGTATCTTCCCTATTCATTATTTCGTGTAACTACATACATCTAAAAAGATTATTAATTTATGTGTTGTCCAGTTAAGGTCTTAAAATGTCCAATATTTTACTAACATGATAACCTTCAACTAACATTAGACTAATAATTGTTTTGAGACTTAACACTTTGTTGAATTGCCTGAATCTCCCACAAATACTCTGCATTGTATTTTTCAGTTTCCTGTCTTAGTGTATGCACCATGTATCTTTTCCTGCACTCCCATTTCTTTGAAATATTTATTTTGTAGTAATTTGTAATTTTTATCATAATGTCATCAAAGCAATAATACTGCTTTTAAAAGATTCTATAGAATTGATACAAGCCTAGTTTCTGGTTTCCTGTGAGTGACTGGAAATCTTTGAATTAGGAATTACAGTCAAGTGCCTTAAGTTAAAGCTAGTCATGGTCCAAAAAATAATCATAGTTTGAATTTGTCCTTATTGTGACCTGGTGATACAGCTCATTTGATCACTATCCTTACTGAACCACTGACTTTCTTCCTGGGAAAATAGGCTGCCCATACAAAAACTAAATGGTAAAAATATCAAGTTCATTTTTTTCTTACTATTAAGGGCAATAAGCTCTATAAACACATTGGCGCATTGGTTTTTTTGTTCACCATAAGAGTGACAGCTCCCATTAACTTTAAAATATCCCTAAGGTGAACAAGTAAGTAACTAGTGAGAAGCACATTTCTTAACTGCAGGTCTTCACATTCAATTAAAACCATAATTTTTGAATTTAGATGTTCAGAGTTGCTTAGAACACATTAAGAGCTTGCTTTAATAGAAGTAAAATAAAACAACCAGTTTTTGTTTTTCTCATAGTAACTGATGCCTCTTAACATGACATTAAATCTAAGGATATATAGATTGAGCTTAAGTACTATCAATTTTAGATTTATATTATTACTACTAGTATTTTAAGATCATTTGAAACATTTTATTTACTTGAATCATTTGAAATTCTACGTAAAATATAACTCTTTCCCATTTTATTTTCATGCAGGAACGAAATAATTGTCTGACAGACTCGAGAGTTCTGAGTGCCAGTCACACTGACTTAGCCCATTGAGGTGCTGGGACTGAAGCTAGCTATTAACGGAGCACTGAGACGCTCAGAGCTTTGGTTCCTCGTCACTCTTGTTAGGAACATGTAGATTAGAGGTTCCCTTGCAAAGGACTCTGATTTTTTATATTTCTAAAAAAATTACTTTTAAAATGTAGTGACTTTTTCCTTTTAAAGGGACTGTAGGTCACTGCTATCTTCTGTGCTTATACTGAGCTTTGTTACTCACAGTAGCCATGAGCTATAGAAACACTGATATTTCAAATATACCAACATAAGAAAGAACAGGATGGTCTCTAGATTCTCAGGGCTGAGACACAGCCAATCAAGTAACTGATTAGCTCTTTACTGTGGCATAGTGTAGGGAGGTTCAGCTTGCTCCACTGCTGCTGGCAGGCCATTTAATGCCTTCATATTTATACATGGCTCCCAGAATAGATATGGAAAGTTTAGTGTTTTAATTAGGCTTTCGAGGTACATATGTAAGGAGCCTGTCATCTTACCATATTATGCCATTGCATGGTGTTCCAAAAGTCTTGGTCATGTTTTAAGCCATGCTTAAAAAATTGTGCTTCTGGGACACCTTTTATATAACAAAGATTGAATCATCCATGGCAGGAGAGTGAGGGGGCCAACAAGCAGTGAAGATGGTCTGTCATCCTTTCCTTTAGTCACTAATTGCACTAAATTATGCTGACTTTATTTCTGTTGTGTTTTTGGCCCAGTTCTTAGTAGGGCCTGTGCAACTGGTCTTAATGGGAAATGAAACAATTGATTCTGTGCCAGGCCATGATGCTTCACAGAACTAGAAGAACCCTAGCCCCCAAATTGCCCTTTCCTGTGTCACAGTCTTGGTTGGTGCTTTTGTGGACCTCAGCAGCTTGTATTAACCCCAAGACAGGTTCTGGTTGAATGACAAGGGGTATTCCTTTAGGCTTCAATGTAAACTGAAAAGCTGTACTTAATAGAGAGGACTCACCTGGGTCACCTCATGAGATCAGAGGGCTGATTTCAGGTCACTCTTGAGAAGTTCTGTAAGACTTGGAGAGTGTAATAAGCTACAAGCAGTCATCAGTGATTGAGCATTGTGAAACTAAAAGGAAAGGAAGAGTTTACTTCTTGGTAAAATCATGAAGATTAGAATATATACTTTGTGTCAGAGAAAAACAAATCTACAACTTTTTGCTTGTGAGCAGGCTAAAAAGAAAAGATTATGACCATCCTTATTGTGAAATGCAGATGAGTAAACATTTTGAATTTATTTTAAAGCAATAATGAAGCCATCTATATGTGAAATGCACTTAAGTGTTTCCTATAAAATACTTGCCTAGTAGTATGTCTGTAGAGAACTTGTTTGAAGTTGGCTAATAGCTAATGTCTAATTAGACATTTTACACATAGTGACAATGCTGCTAATTTTAGTTTCTCATACTGTATCATACTTTATTGGTGAATTTAAGAGAACAAACTCTTTGGGATTATTTTATAGCAATTTTATTTTTAAAGTTAATTTGTTAAAAATAACTTTGTATAGTTATTAATATAATAGATTGCAAAGATTATGTATCTGTATGGGGTGTATAATGCACTTTTTTCAGTTATGTGCATAGACTTTCAATATCAAAATGTCAATTGTACCTACCTTCTGTTCTATAGAAGATTTCCTGTTCCGTGACCATTAGCATTATTATGTGATCCCTACTTTTCCAGTTTACTGTCCAGTCTTCTCTTTCCTTCTTTCCTTGATGATGAGACCATGCTGCTTCACATTATCTCCAAATTGCCCTTCTTGATAGTATTTAAGCTTGAGGGTTCCCATAGAACTGTAACATATACTTTGTTTATTTTGCCTTTAAAATTTTATAGAAATAGATGTACTTTAGATATACTTAGAAAATTTCCATCAAGTTGTAAGAAGATAGCAGAAACAATCAGGGACAGCTGTTTTGATTTCATGGTTCTATAAATCCCATTTTTTAGTGGACTAGCACTAGGTGTGCTGTATTTAAATTTGATATATAAAATACATGATTCATTATACATGAGAAAGTGATAGGCAGCATGGTGCAATGGATAGAGAGCTAGTCTTGGAGTTAGGAAGACCTGGATTCAAGTCTTGCCTCTGATATGTAACTGATTGTGTGACCCTGGGCATATTGTTTATTCTCTAAGTGCCCCAAGCATAAAGTGCAACGAGGGGGGCAATTTGTATTGGCAGAACAAGTTCCAGAGGTCTCTTCCAGGAGTTTCCTAAATCGATAAAATCACAAGTATTGCTTTAAAAAAAGAAAACTAGGCTGTACTTACTCTTTCCTTACTTTGTTCTCTCTAGTCCCATCTTAAAATTCTTTTCTTTCCCTAATCAAAATTGATTGCATTATACATGAAATGTAAACAGTAACTTAATGACTGATGGTCCAATTCACTCTAGGATAACAAAACTAGGGCGCACAGTTAGGGTGGATGGAAACAAAGACTTGAAAGTAGAATTTCATGTTATTAGATCTACTTTTACATCTTTGTTAAAGAATCCAGTTTAGATTTCAGTCTCAGTTCTCTGCAGATATATAGTTATGACTTTCATCCTTCAATAACTTACTGATTGGAAATCATACAAGTGGATTTCGTAACATCAGAGACCATAAGAATTGGAAAACCATCACTAGTGAAACCAGGCTGAAAATTAATTTCCCTTTTGAGAACTTTGAATCCTTCTTGGCTACATTTCAAGATGACAGTTTAACATGGAAAATTCTGCTTGAAATCCTGATCCTTAGATTTTCGTAATAATGCAAACAAATCTACCAGTGTGTTGCTATTTTGATTGGATTTCTGAAATGAAATTGCTTTTTTTTTTTTAAACATCCAAGTAGATGTCTTTTTATATACACATTCTTATATTCACACCCATTTGTTTCTTGCTAATGTTTGTCCAAGAAAGAATTTACCATCAGCATTGGAGAGAAATGAATCCTGCATACATTTCTATGCCTTTGCACTTAAGTTTCTTAACTGCAGCTTGTGCAAGAATTATGACTGGTGAGCACCAAAAATTAATGAGAAATATTAGAGGCAAAGTTACTATGGACTAGTACTATGCTCTTATACCTAAAATTGTCCTCTAGTGAATTCTTCAGGAAAGAATCCATTTGCTTCAGGGATGATTAACTCCCTGGGAATATATTACAGTTTTTAATGAGATAATGAATAGGGCTTTAGGTAGGCCATTTTTATATTGTGTGGTTTTTTTTTTTATCATTCTCTGCCTCACTCTGAAAGGTCAATGAAAAATCACAAAGCAAAGTTATTTAAAGTTTATATGTAGGTTGATGAATATGGTGAATGTTAATGGGTTTACATAGCCTACTAAACAGTAGGTTTTTAACATTTGGTTATCTGAGTTTCTGTTGTTGAAAATGCATGTTAGCACTTGTTCTTATGTATGTTTACAATATATGATAGGGTCACATGTACAGCTTGGGTATGTTTCTGGTCAGAGTGCTGCTAAAAAGTATCACGTTTTAAATGTAATTGTTAGATTTATTCATAGAAGGGAGCACAGATATATTGTGCTAGGAACTCATGATTGACTATCTGAAATGATGTAGAATAGATTTTTGAAGGTTTATAACTCCTGTACACATTGCTTTGTTAGACATGTACCTACTTAGGAAACTAATTAATGAGATGATCAAATCTCTGCACTTAATATTTTCAAGAAGTTTACACTGATCAGATTTTAAAAAAATTAATAATCATGTGGGGCTCTCCCCCACGGTCATTTTTAACATAATGACACATAAGTCTCTTGGACTTGAACTGTACCACAAAGGTCATTTGGTCAGAGGAGAGTCTAGGCTGATATACCCAGACACTGTAACTGTTTAATTCCTCAGAATTTGAGGGGTGACTTAAGTATTTGATCAGGAGATATGAAGATAAGCTAGAAATCGCAAATCTCATCTGGAAAATAGACTTAAAAGGTAAAAATGGCTGACATTCTTGGGTAGGATAAGAATTTTACCATAGTTCTTGTGTTTGAAGTCTGGAGTATGTCTGATGCCTTTTTAGGGTGGCAGTGTTTTAAAACAGACTACTAAAGCTGAGGACTATATCTAGAGAGATCAGGGAGTTTTTTTTTTTTTGTAGCACTTTGGACTCTGATGCTCTTGTCACTTTTTTACAGTTTCCCTTTTAAAGATACTAGCTTTGCCCAAAGAATCGTTTAACAAAGTAACATTTTATAAAATATTTACTGTGTATTTCATAAGTTTAAGAAATGTTTGCCTTCCTACTGATGAAAATGGTGGCATATTTTTGAGGGGAAACTGCACATCCAATACTTGCTTAGTAAAAGCACTGGTTGTTAGGACCGAAGCTCTAGAAACACATTTGTACACAGCATAGGGAAAAGTAGCAGAGGAAACATTGTGCTCTGGAGTCAGGAGAGTTGAGCTTGGCTCCTTTTCAGGTGCTTCTTACCTGTGGGTCCCTGGGCAAGTCATCCTTATCTATAAAATGGGGACAAGATTGCTACCACCTCACATGGCTGTTCTGTGGAAAGTGCTTTGCAAACCTTAGAATGCCATAGAGATGTGAGTTGTTACAGATACTAGAGGCAGTGAGGTGCGCATACATACCACCTGCATCACAGCTTCTGTAGCCCACACTGCTTGATAGAGGGCATGGAGGTAGTAGTAACAAGGATGTGGAGTGCCTCTCTTGGAGCTTTCTTTCTTAGAAAAGTATAATTTCATTTCTTAAGCTTGGTATAAAGGTTTTCACTTGATAACTATTTTATAACCTCTTTATTGATGATAGTGTCAAAGCTGAGTGTTTACACTGATTCTGGAATTTACTGCATGTTTTCAGAAGTGTGTATCATTTCTATTAAATTTATGTGCTGCATCTCAGTGCCTTGGTCTTATTTTTAAATGTGCTATTTATCTTACGTAGAGGGCCGGCTGGCATTTTTCTCAAAAATTAAAGAAATAAACTTATTCGCTACAAGTTAATTAAGTTCATTGTGCTTTTGCATGAGGGCTCATAAAACGCACCAAACACACTGACCTTATTTTCCTTAAATTTGCAGGCTGATATTTCTTTATGTCACAAGTTGTGAATCACAACTAGAGAATGTCTAACAGGGAATCCTGTAATTTAAATACTAAAAATCTTAGTGATTTGTCAGATCTGTTTTAAACTTAGGTTCTTCTACAAAATATGAGGGGCCCACCGAAAAAGGCCACCAGTATTTGAAGGTTTTACCCAAATATTTACTTTTTGAAAAGCTCTGTTTTCTCTCATTCCCTACCCCCCCCCCAATAAAAACTGAGTTGTTTCCTTACATAGTAATAGTCTTTTCAGGTATGTGAATATGTAAATATTGTATAATTAATTGTTTTCACTTAGTTAAGTGTTTAATATTTTCTGTCAGAATTTCATTTCCTCATCAGTAAACTACACCAGAATTAGTATGACAGTGTTCTGTTACCGAGAGGCATTGTGGCAGAGTAAGAATGCCTCACTTCACTGGAATAAGGAAAGACTAAAATCCCCCCATTTACTAGCTATATAACTGTGGGCAAGTCTCACTTGTTTCTTTATCTATAAAGTGAGGATAATAGTAGTGGTAGTATCTATCTCGTAAGGTTATAAGGATCAAATGAGATAATGTATGTTACATTTGTAATTAAATGGACAGTAGTTATTAATATGCAAATGGGGGGAAGGCAGACTGTTAGGTGAGGTGTATGATTTTGCCCCACAATCAGTCACATCAGGTAGTGTCATTTCTTATGGGAGCATAATACACATAATTTTTAATTCCTTACTGAAAGTTTTGTCTGCCAAATTGCCAACAGTTATATTTTGTAAAAGTTTGTTGTTTGAGATGAATAGCCACTGTTGGCCTTTGGGTCCTAAGATGAACTAACTGCTTTATTTCCCTTAAATTGTTGGCTTATACCATGTTTTCAAATCATAAAGTGAATTACAACTGTAGAATTTCTAACTTAATGTATTTTTTTTATTTGTTTTTTAGGCAGTTGGGGTTAAGTGACTTGCCCAAGGTCACACAGCTAGTAAATGTCATGTTTGGTCTGAGGCTTCAGGGCCGGTGCTCTATCCACTGCACCACCTAGCTGTCCCATGTAATTTTATTAGTAAAAGTTTCAGAGACAATTTTAATTTGCCCAACTGATTTGGCTGGTTGGGCCTAGGCAGGCTCTAGGACAAGAAGGAGATAAAAAAAAAAGCCCCTCCAAGTTGGACTCGTGTTTTTTATTTTTGTTTAATCTCCTTTCTATCAAGTGCTTTTTGGTATTTCACTGTTTCATTGGCTGATTGACTCATTTCATTTAAAAATCTTTTTGAGCCTTTCTTCAAAATCCTAGACAAAAAGAAAATCCTAGACAAGTCCTGAAGGAGCTTGATGTGGGTGGGAAGACAAGATGGAATGATCCTTTAAAATAAAACTAGGATAAATGTGTAAGGAAAATCATTTTCTTATTGGTGGCTCACCTTAATGAGAGTTAGGAATGACACAGCTCTGTCTTATGTTATATTTAAGAATGAAAATAATCTTGGCTCACAAGCTTGGCTATAAGTAAGAGACAGGCTGAGCAATGTGTTTAGAGCAGAGGTTAGCTCAGAACTTCGTAACCAGATTTTTCTGCATGATACTAAAAATGAGCCTATTGCAACCTTAGATTAGATTAAAGGTGAGTGTAGTATCCAAATGTGAACAAGTTCCAACACGGTATCTTGGAAATGATTTGTTGCTGTAATAGAATTTTTTGTAGCACATTCGTCTAACTTTTCCAGGGGGTAAAATGCTCATATTCTACCATTTTAAAAGCTGAACTTCCAAGGAAATGTGTCACCAAGAGCTCAAAGGAGAAACAGTTGCTGCCACCTAGGGATTTCCCGAAATCTCTTAGAGCCAGAGTTTCATGCCTATGTACAACTGTCTGCTTTCAGTAACGTTGGCCAGAAGATGTGTCAATTAGAATGGTAATTGTTCCAGCTGATATAAACTTGATAGAACCTAAAGCATCTGTCACTGACTATATTTTTTAACTTTTTCTTTTAATGTTTTAAAAATTGACATAGCTTTTGTTTTTATGTATATTTCTGACTATATTCCTTCTTGCTTCTCTATCCAGCAAGCTATCTCTTGCAAGAATGAGTGAAGAGTTAAGCAAAACTAGCCAATGTGATGTTCCATGTCCACAGCACGCCCTCATGTCCCAGGGAATTATTTTCTCATCTCTTCCCTGGGCCAAGCTTGGTCATTTATAATATATAATATTTTCATTTTCAGTGTTATTGTCATCATATATATTGTTTTCCTGATTCAGCTTACTTCACTCTTCATTAGTTCATATATATGTTATGGTCACTAAAACAAAAAAGACAAAGGTTTTGAGAGAGGCTGATTGGACGATTTTCATTTCCCATCAGTGGTAAGGTTAATGTAGATACTAAGAGTCTTTAGAGCACACCTCAACTTCAATTTAACAAACTTTTTTTATTTATTAATTAATAATTTTTAGTTAACATTCACTTCCGTAAGATTTTGAGTTCCAAATTTTCTCCCCATCTCGCCAAGACAGCATGCATTCTGAATACCCCAATACCCTTTCTCCTAATCTGCCCTCCCTTCTACCCCTCCCCCTTCTGTTTTCGAGTAGGGCAGGATAGATTTCTATACTCCATTGCCTGTGTATCTTATTTCCCAGTTGCATGTAAAAACAATTTTTAACATTTGTTTTTAAAACTTTGGGTTCCAAATTTTCTCCCTTCTTCTCTCCCCACCCACCCTCATTGAGAAGGCAAGCAACTCGATACAGGTTATACATGTGTAGTCGTGCAAAACAGTTCCCTAGTAGTCATGTTGTGGAAAACTATATTTCCCTTCATCCTATCCCACGGCAGCCCCCCCCCCCCCCCCCCCCCCCCCCCCCGACCCCCTCCCCCCCCCCCACTCTTTGCTTCTGATTCCCCCCTCCCCCAATCTGCCCTCCCTTTCTCATCCCTTCCCCCCTATTTTCCTGTAGGGTAATATAGCTGTCCACACCCAAATGAGCTTGTATGTTATTTCCTCCTTAAGCCAAGTCCAATGAGAGTAAGATTCACTCATTCCCTCTCACCTTCCACCACTTCTCCTCCACTGTAAAAGCTTTTTCTTGTCTGTTTTATATGAAATAATTTACCCCATTCTACCTCTCCCTTTCTCCTTCTCCCAGTATAATCCTCTCTCACCCCTTAATTTTATTCTCCAGATATCACCCCTTCATCTTCAACTCATCCTGTGCCCTCTATCTATCTATACATAAAATTTTAACAAAGATATATTAAGAACCTACATCACACGGGTAGTGATATAAAGACAAAAGAAGAGTGCCTGTCCTCAAGGAGCTTACATTTGGGGGGGGGAGAACAGGGACAGGGATGGAACTTTAACATATAGGTAAATATATGGGGCTGAGGAAAAACACTAATCATGGAGTGGGGAGGGTCAGGAAAAGCCTTGCTTACAGTGACACCTAACTGCAGCCTTGAAAGGAATCAGGAATTCAGTAAGGAGGAAGGAGAACATGGGGACAAGCCTGGGCCAAGGCACCAAAGCAGAAGAAATTATTTACAGGGAGGGCAGGGAGATAGCAATTGGGCCATTTTGGCTGGAATGTAGAATGGGGAATTAATGTGAAATCAATCTGGAAAGTTAAATGCTTTAAATGCCAAATAAATATTTTATCCTTAGAAGCAATTCAGAGCCACTAGAAAATTCTTTACCATTAAGGACTAGTTTAAAGCTATGGGGGTTAAAAGTCATAATTCTTGTTATGGGCATTTGACAAATTTCTCTCCTCAAATGCTGATAGCTCACATCTCTCAAATAGCCTCTGCCGTGATAGTTCTCAGCCCTCCAAAGGTCAGAGTTTAGTTTACGGCAAGGATATAGTCACTGAAAGAAGTAATTAGCTTATTAAAAAATTCCTTAAAAATGAACAATTTAATCCTCTCTGGACCAACCCATGAAGCTAACAGAATGACAATAAACCATTAAGTGTTAACACTTTGTTTGAAAATTAGGGCTCAGTAGTAATGTACACAGACAAATATATAGACAAACTACAGATTAATAAAGGTTTTCATGGAAGGTATCATTTCTCTTGTACTTCTAAATTACTGTAACTGTAGTAATTGCCTTACTCTGCTCCTTTTACACCCTCTGCATTGACTGTGTAGTGACAATAGGACTGGGGCAGATGTGGTGCAAAAATAACACTCAGTGTCCTAACAACAGTTCCAGTAGCTGAGGCATCTGTATCTCTGGAAAACTCACAGGATGAGCGACTGACCACCAGCCTCATTAGTAGTTGATTGGACCAGGTTATTCCAAGTGCTGGAGAAACTCTCTGAAGTACACTAAAGAACAAGATAGGAACAGTTGGTCACTGCTGGGTTTGTATACATTGATCTTTTTAAAAACCATAAAACCCCCAATACATTTTCTGTCTAATTTCAGTTTCTCTTTTTTGGCTGAGTGCAGCCTTCTGTTTAGTAGCTTCTCTTCCACTGGGCTAGCTCAGTTTAGCTGTCACAAGTTTCCTACACCTAACCTTATGGAAGGATAAGAACCCTTCACAAAAACACACAAAAATATGACTAATCAAAATGGTTCTTACCATTGTTATGGTAACTTACTCCATGTTAGTGCCAGCAAGCCCTCTCTCATCCACTGTATCTGTTATCTGAAAAACACAAAATTGGGTTCTATCCTGGTAATTACTGTTTAAAAGGTTGGTACTGCCCTTGATGATGGTAGGGAGCACCCAAGCTGTTTTTTGAGGGACAGATAGTGATTTAGATATCATCTGCTGTGGGGGATAGCAGAATATTCCCCCCCATTAAGACCCATCTGATAGCACTCAGGGGCCAGACTGTTGTGACCAAGGGGCCAGATTACAGTACTACCTACCACTGACCCTTTCTTTAAAAAACAAAACAACAACAACAAACGAAAAAACAAAGAAACCACTTCCCTTTCCACAGATAGGGAACATCTTTCCTTGAGCATATCTGTAGGTGAAGAAAGTTCATACCTGATTAATGCACAATACTGGACTCTGGAATCCATTGCTCAATTGGTACAACTTTGCTCCGAGAGTCTGTAAATATTTGGCTTTTGTAATGGAATGCTGGATGCCAAATTCACAGCGAAACAGAGCAGCAATAGAGTCAATGATGATCAAGCGGACCATTCCTCGAGATAGCAAGATGGGAGCCCTCTTAGTAATGCACTCAAACAATGTGTCCTGGAACCAGAGTGGGAGAATGGTGGGAACGTGCACTGTGACCCGTAACCCATCCTTAAGCAGCAGGTCTTTAGCTATACCCTAAGCTGATAATGTCATTTGACATCCTGTATTGACCACAGGTAGCTTCCTTCAGTAGCTGAGGATATCAGATCTCTATTGTCTGACATTGAAAGAAAATACAATTTGGAGTCATAGAAAGAGACCCCACCTGTCCAGTTTTCTAATCCAGTGTGTAATAATAGCCCACTGATAAGATATTTCCTTCTATTCCACTCTAGACAGTTGTCCCAGAATAGTAAAAGTAAACATGGGAAAACAGGTTGGAAAAGTGGATCTGAACAAGTTCAAGCTGACGCTGGAGTTTGCCTGTCATTGGCCCACCTGTGGGGCTGAGCCTTGTTTAGCTATACCAAAAAATCACTAACATATGTCTGAGAGGTCACTACAGACACAGGACTGGCCACCATGGAGAAAGAAGCACCCTTCAGATCACAATTCTTAGGCCAAATAGACTTTAAATCCTTAAGACATAAGGGAAAGAGGAAAATGATCATCATGTTGGGTCCTAGAACTCAAATATTTCCTTTCCCAACTGCAGTCCTCCATTTTTCTGCAGTCACTGTGAGTTTCGGTGTGGCAGGAGACCAGAAGAATTCCTCAATACCATCCTGCTTGGTCCAGAGAAATGTACTTTCCTTTGATAGGCATTCCCCGGGACAGTTAGTGTGGGTTACTGACAGTCTGCACTGTAGGGCTGACAGATGAGTACGCTCTTTAATTCTCATATCCCCAACTGAAATTTGACCACGGCCAAAGAAAAACAATGGAGAAAGGGGTGGGGAGGGTGGCTGGAATTTAAGGAAATGGGCATTAGCCCATGAGGACACCAGGCATCATGGATAGAAGTCCTTGGAGTTGGATGGGTCTCACTGTGTGATCCTTGGTAAGTAACCACCTCTCAGTGCACCAGGCAACTCTCTCAAGCGGGGGTTCTTCACCTTTTTTACACTGCATCCCATGGGCAGTCTGCCGAAGCCTATGAACCCCGTCTCAAAACAACATTCTTAAATGTATAGAGGATTACAGAAGGAAACAATTATACTGAAATACAGTTATCAAAATATTATTTTAAAAATAAGTTTATAGACCCCAGATTAAGAACCCCCTCTCTGAGGCTGGACAGTGCTGACCAGCTGATGTGTATTAGTTGAGGGTGCTGGTCTAGGACTCTGGGAGCTTCCAGCTTGCTGATGGCATTAAAAGAAAAAAAGTCCTACAGAAACATTTGCATAGTGTTTATGGTTTACGCACATTATTTCACATAATCCAGAGAGGTTAAGACTTGCCCAGGGTGATGGTGAGCATTAGGTGGGATTCTACTCTAGCCACAGGCCCTAAACCCTTCCAAGAGGTTCCAATGAGGAAGAACGGTGGTGAGACAAAACCCAACAATGGATGTCAGCAGTGACTATCCCTGGGCTAAGCTTAGGGGAGGGGCAGGCTTGGGTAATGCAGGGCCCATTCCAGGAGAGATGCCTTTGCCTCCCTTAAAGCAGAATGACCCCTCTGTTCAGCTAACAGAAATGGCAACAATTAAGAATTGTCCTTGTCTGCCTGAATCTATGGACTGTATTGTTTTGAAGGGCAAAGTGTGGCTTCTGCACATACAAGGGAAGGCCTGGTATAGTACGCTGTGCCCATTACTCAGAAAGCTTCGAGCTTTCTGTTCAATGCTTTTGTAGCCTGACTTGAGCAAGCTCAAGTGTTGACAAATGATCTGTTGTCTCTGGGTTGATAGCCCCATTAATTGAATTTAATTCTTTGTTTAAATCTCCAGGGTGTCTCCAATAGAACCTATTTTTGTCGAAAATGATGGCAGCAGTAGTGGTTTGGAAGATTCTTCCATTAATGTGAGTCGCCTCCCCTCCTGTCCCCTTTATTGTTTTGGAGGGGGTGCATGTGCACATATGCATGTACATGCTTATGAGAGTGGGGTGTGGTTAGCATTGCCAGAACTTGGAGCAAGTCTGCCCCAAGACCAGTCAAGCACACTACCCTCTAGGAGGAACTTACAGTCAAAGTCTCTGGACCTTAGCTCAGGGTCCCCCATTTGAACCTGTGTCTGAGAAATGAAAAAAGGCAACCAGCCTGGTAGCAGTTAGCAAGAGCAGCTTTTGCAATCACTAAAGCATTTCTTAAGCACCTACTATGTGCCAGGGCAGGGGTGGGGAACCTGCAGCCTTGAGGGCACATGTGCCCCTCTAGGTCCTCAAGTGTAGCCCTTTGACTAAATCCAAACTTCACAGAACAAATCCCCTTAATGAAAGGATTTGTTCTGTAAAAGTTGGACGTAGTCAAAAGTCTGCACCCGAGGACCTAGAGGGCCACGTGGACCTCAAGGCTGCAAGTTTCCCACCCCTGTGCCTGGCACTGTGCTGGGGTACAAGGTCACAAATGAAACAGTCTGACCTAATGGAGCTTATGTCTTTTGGGGGGAGACAGCACACACTCCTATAAATACAGACAAAACAAAATAAATACAAGTACAAGTTCTCAGTTTCCTTACATGGATAAGAAAGATAAAAATACTAAGAATCCTTGTATCTTTGTGAGGAACGTACTTTGACTCCTCCTGTTTCAAGATTTCAAAGGAAGGAACAGAGCACAGAGAGGATCTGCATATACTGAGCCCAGAATCTCTGGGGCTGAGACAATGAGGTCCTTCGAGAATTTATGAGAGCTGGAATCAATAGAACCATCACTGTGGTCCCTATTGCAGCAGGAAAGTGTGAGACCAAGGACAAGACACAGAGACATCAAACTTGGTTATGATAAATGCGCTGGTAAAGAAGAGCAAATCATGTGAATCCTGAAAGGCCTCTGCTTACCCTAGCAAAACAAAAGGATCAGAGATTTAGAGCTGGAAGAGACCTTAAAAGGCCATCTGCACACCCTCCTCTTTTTACAAATGAGGAAACTGAGGCCCTGATTATCTCTGTTGATGGCAGGGAAGCACCCAAGCTAAAAACAGATTTTTGAGGAGCAGCTACAGTGTTTTTTGTTTTTTTTTTAGCAGCAAAAGGGGAAAGAAGTTGATCTGTCCATTCAGTATGAATAAACCTTTCCCCTGTTGAGACCCATCAGCTGGGACTCTTGGAGCCAGGTTGCACTATACTATTTACCATACAAAGCACTACAGCAGTGTGCTTTACATCAACAATGTGTCGGTACAAACATGCGCATGATCTCTTTCCCAGAAAATAAGAGTGCAGCCAATTCTAGTATAGAAAAAGGAATACTGTCAATCCCTAAAGCTTTACTTTCAGTGTTTAGCTTCAGGTTTACCCAACTAATCCTTCTGTCAGAGCAGCCAACCAGGCCCAGAACTGATTTGAGACTCACTCTTACTTTTACAACCCTGTTCGCCCCCTGGTGACACTATGGGCAGTGAACGTGACCAGAGAAGTGAGGACAGGGAAAGCCTAAGGATCAGGACAATCCACAGACTGTTTAGCAACCCCTTAGCATGTCAAATATGACATAATAGGTACTTTGAGCATGTTGTGACTTGTCAGTGGGGCACTTTGACCCTGTAGGCTTTGGTCCTGGCCACCTGAGGGGTGTGAGAAGATCTCTGCTCTTCCAGTGCCTTGCTGTGGGCCTTGGGAAACACTTCTTCAGGGCCTTCGTTCCCTCAACTGGCCCCAGATCTCTCTGATAGCTTCTCACAGCTTTTTCTCATAGGCATCTGAATGTACTGGTGAAGGCCTGTAGGGGTATGTTTTGGGGAATTTTCAGGAATCCTAGAGCTATACACACACACACACAGAACAGCGTCCATTTCCTTTGATGCTGTCTTCTCTTTCAGTGAAGAGTTTCCACAGTGACCTCCCCGTCAGAAGTGTCCATGTTCTCCCGGGACCCTGGGAACACTGTCCCATCTGGAGCCGATAGGGCTGTAGTCGAGGCTTGGAGCAACCACCTGGGAGCTGGTGGTTATTTAACAAGGCTTCATTATGGCTATTCTTGCTGTGGAACTTGCTACTAATCTTTGTATGATTTGTCAGGATCACACAGGGCCGTGACCTTCGTGACAGGACAAACCTGGGGAGTGGGTCAGTGTCCCTGAATGCCTTTTGTACAGTTCAGCCTCTGCTCTTAAAGGAGAATGCTGCTGGTTTCCTCTTTTTCATCCTTTATTCCCCCAACTCTCCCAGAGACTGTGGGGCTGACTGCAGGGTTGAAGTCTGTGGCTTTGCCACGTACTGAATCTGCATTGGAAAGGTCTGTGCCTCTGTGTATAATATCCTATTATGTTATTTCGTTTGGAGCTATGTGTGTTAATGTATTTTACTGTAAATTTTTTAAAATTAAATTTTATGTGCTGTATACCTTTTATTCTTTAAAGTTATCTTTATGTGGAAATACCTTTAAATTAGGTGAATCCTTATAACAAGAACACCTTTTAAAATCCCTTATTCTATCCAACTGATGAGGAGAGTCAGAGATGAGAAGAAAACATGCCCATTAGCCTCACTTTCCTTAGGACTTCCCATCCCGTCTCTGTAGAATGAGAAGGCCGGACCAAATGTTCTCTCCATGCCTTTATTCCTTTAACCATCAGATCTGGTAAGTCTAGGATCCCAGGACTTGGTTCCACAGAATATCAGGGCTGGGACCTGGGAGACCGTTTAGACCACTGCCTGCCTCCCTTTTAAGGCTCAGAGATGGGAAGGAATTCACCAAAGGCCACAGAGGGGCCAGACTAAAGCTCGGGCCTCTCAGCTCTCACCTTCAGTCAGGGGGTGTAGGGGGGCCTGGATTCCTGCGGTGGCACGAAAACTGTCAGCCTGCTTCCAGCTGTTCAGGGAGCTAAGGCTACTCACCTTGTACTGAAATTTTACTTCTTCTCCAATGACAATTATTCCCAAGCTTCCTTTTTTCGCACTACATTCTTTACTCAGCAAGCTATGAAATGTAACTTCTAGGCATGATTTTGTACAGCTCATCATATATGTAATAAGGAATAATACAATCTACAGCATTCACTTTAGGGAGTGGAATTTAAAACTCTATATGTACGTACACACACATACACACGCAAATTGTAACAACATCAACTCATCACATTGAGAGGGAGGTGGTGCATTGGGCAGAGCACTAGGCCTGTAGTCAGGAAGACGAATTCAAATCCAGTCTCAGATACTTACTAGCTGGGTGACCCTGGACAAGTCACTTAAACTCTGCCTCGGTTTCCTCATCTGTAAAATGGGGGCGATAGTAGCACCTACCTCCCAGGGTTGTTGTGAGGAGCAAATGAGATAACTGTGAAGTGCTTAGCACAAAATAAGTGCTACATGGATGTTAGCTATTATAATTATGATTAAGATATTGAATCCAGTAAAAAAAAAACACAAAACATTATAAAGCAGCCTGTTGTAAATCTTCAAATATCTTACTTAGCCCTGCAGTTGACATATTCTCCCAATATGTACTGCTTCCTGTTACAGTGTTGTACAAGTAACTGTAAAGACTATTAAGGATCGTAGGTGATGAAGATAATTTAAGAAATGAGACCACCCTTTACAGCAGGGGTTGGCAAACTATGGCCGGAGGGCCAAATCTGGTATTCTACTTGTTTTTGAACAGTTGCAAGCTAAGAATGGTTTTACATTTTTAAATATAATAAAACTTTATTTAAAAATGTAAAAACCAGGCCATATACAAAAGCAGGCAGTAGTTTGCTATCCTTTGCTCTATTATACAAAACTGATCACCCTAATTATCTTTGGTATGAAATTTCAATTCCCCCACTCATCTTGAAACCCAGACTAATCAGATACCCCCTCCCCCACATATTGCTGGGGTGCAGGGCAGGGCCAGAATACTTACTATGTCTGCTGCATGCTCAATGAAGATAGAGTTGCCAAATTTAATTTTCTTGATGATCTCCCCTGGAACATCTGTCCTTAGTTGATGCTGTAGAGCTATAAGCTGCTGCAAACGCTTGTCTGGGAAAACATCCTCTGTACAAATGTAGATCACACCTAAAAAGCAAAAACAGGTTTCTTATTTTAACTAGAGTCCACAGTAATTAGCCTGTATCCTACCTGTCAATCCCAACACAGTTTTTGTATGATTTCTATACTTTCTTACATTCCTTGTCATCTTCCAGTGAAGCTCTCCTCTGATGCCTCATTCAGGATAAGAAGTGACTGCATTTTTGAAGGTCCTTCCAGTAAAGTACAAGACTCTCTAAGTGGGAAAGCCTTCTTTACGTCTGTTGTTCTAACCCCCGTGTAGAAAGATTTGTGATGTTTGGCCACCAAGTGATGATTTTTCTTACCAGAGTCCCTCTGGTGAACCTTTTACTGAAGGGTTTGAAATCTGTGTTGTAGAGACAGCACCCACACCAATAAAATCAAAAGCTCTGTTTGAAATGCTTTGCTGATCACATTGGGAAATGTAAAGGGGAGGAAGGCAGGTAAGCAGACAACCTTCCAAAACAAGCCTTCTTGCTCTAAAGGAGCTCCTGCCACAGATTTGACCTGGACTTTGAAACTGGGTTCATTTGGGCTGAGCATAAAAGAAGCTGTCCCCATATTTCTATCTCCATCTCCTTACCAGTTTCAAGTCTGTGGGGCCACTATGCTTGTCCTTGACCTGTTCATACATCCAGGAAGCCCAGTCACCAGCTCTTTGTCCCTGCATTGTCTATGCCACGTGAATAGACTTCACCTTCATCTGGGTCAGTGCCCAAGAAACTGTGCCTGTGGTATGAGGCTGTGAGTCCTAGAAAGGAGGGTATTGACAGCAGCAAGCCCAAATGGCTGACTCAAGATCTGTGAGTATAATTGGGGCCAACAGGAATTCCAGGCTCATCAATGGCTATTTTTTGATTTTGGGCAAGTCACTTAACCTATCTGGGCCTCAGTTTCCCCATCTCTTAAGTGAAGGTACTTGACTAGAAGGTCTCTTTCAGCTACGGATCTGATCTTATAAAATTGTACCATTTTTCAAAACACTTTTCTTATCCATTGACTCACTTAATGCTTACAGAAACTTCATGAAGTAGGCAAAGCAGGGATTATCATCACTGTTTTATGGATGGAAAAACTAATGGTTAAGAACTCATCCAAGACTGAACAGGCAAAAATGGCAAAGAAAGGACTAGTACCTCAGTCTTTGTTACCCTCCAGTGTAAGTAACCTATGGCCTTCGCACTGTACTACAAAGTTTATGCAAGATATCATTACTATCTTCACCTACATAATAACTAAATATAATAGCAAATAATACAAGATGAGTAATTCAAGAGAAGTGTAATCCTAGCTCTACCTGAGGTCTGAGGAGGAAAAGGCCATGGAATTAGGAAAGGCTTCTCGGAGGTGGTGGCATTTAAATTCTGGGCCTTTCCACAAAGCTGTCAGGCAAGAATGCACGGAGGGACCATGTCTTATATTGTCTGTCTTCTCCACAGGCCTTAGCAACATGCTGCACTTAACAGCCTAGTTTTACACAGTGCTGACTTGTTGGAAAGCCAAGAGCCAGGGAACTGACTTTCAAGTACTGGCTCTTCCTATTTCTGTAAACTTGGGTAAATTACTTCTTTGGGTTTCAAATTTCCTTATTTATAAAATGAGAGAATTAGATTAGATGATCTTAAGGATCTCTTCTGTGTCTAAGACTCATGATTTAAGCGACATTAATAGACAAACTAGATCTCCATTTTCTCCATACAGGTACTTAAGTCACCAATTTTATGAGTATCCAAGTAAATTAAGATCCCAACAATCTCACGGAGCTTGTCCTCTATCCTTGGACATAGTTTTGCTGTGCACACTGGCATAGGCTGGGTTGAATAGTGATCACAGAGGGAGTTAGTGGAATGAACATCACTGGCCTTTTGTACTGAGACCTGTGCTCCATTTCTAAAAGAAAGCTTCAAAATGTAGCGCAGACAAAACATTCTCTGATTTCATGTTGTCTAACCATATATACTTCATGTGCGGAAACTCTAAAAGGTCAGCAATTTTTACTTCTCAAAATTACAGTTTTCAGGGGAAGTTTCTCACAACGCTCCAGGGTAAATTTTCTGCCTGTAGGTCTACCCTTTTTATCCTGGTCCCTTGCCAGAACTCCTTTTCCTAATGTTTCTTATTCCCCTCCTAGTGCTCCCAGGAAGAGATAAGATCTGGAAGGAGGGAGAAGATCACGATATCACAGAAATCATAGCTAGAAGAGCCTTTAGAGGTCAGAGAATAAAGGACTTATCTCAGGTCATTAGACAAAACTGATTTCCTCACTATGTCCAAAAGGAAGAAAAAAATTACGTACAAACACGTCTCATTTCTGCACTTGAATCTGGGCTTCTTGATCAGGAGATAGATAGCATGTTTATGATTAATCTCCAGAATAATGGCTGATCATTATACTAATCAATGTACCTAAGTCTTTCAAAGTTTTTTGTCTTTACAATATTGAAGTTATTGTATAAGTCACTTTCCTGGTTCTCTCCTGGTTACTTCACTCTGTTTCAGTTCATATATCTCTTCCAAGTCTTCTCTGAAACCATTTCTTTCACCATTTCTTACAGCATGCTACTATTTCAAATTCTTTGCCACCTCACTGCTGAGTTTTTTGGGAAAGGGTCCATTTTGTCACAAGAAAATGTAACTATAAATTTTTCTTTAAATAGAAATAAAAGGTTTCAAGTCAGGGGGTAGCTATTATTTATTGTTAACAAATACTAAGTGCTTACTACTTTGGATACTAGGGATGCAGATATAAAAGTGAGCCAGTCTCTGCCTGCAAGGGGCTTATAATCTACTGGCAGTATACACTGCGTCCATAGATGAGTAAATCCAAGATACATTCTCTCTCTCTCTCTCACACACACACACACACACACACACACACACACACACACACACACACTGTGTGATGGGCTAGAAGAGTAATCACTGGAGGGAAAGAGGAAAGGCTGCTTTAAAGAGGTGACGCTTCAGCTAAGCCTTGAAGGGAATGAGAGGTCCTAAGAGGTGGAGCTGAGAAGGGAAAACATTTCTGGTTTTGTAGACTGTCTGTGCAAAGACAGAGGAAAGAGAAAGAATATCATATCTAGGAATAACAAGTAGAATAGCTCTGAATCATTCAAAGTATTGTGGCAGGGCTAACCAAACTATAACAATGCTTTCCACAATGGCTGATCTTTGTGGTTTTATGCTCAGTAACACTTTGGCTCCAACAGACTCCAGCATGTGGGATCACAGATAAAATCCTCCCCACCCCATTAGCCAACCTTGTATAATACTGGGAAGCACTCTGTGCCCACATTCTTGTCTCCCTCCAGCAGTTGCTATGCACAAAGGTCCCACAGTGTTGATTTGGAAGTGAAGGGTAACAGATCATGCCTTACTTCTCATAACACTGCCATTCTGGAATGCTCTCAAAGCAGAGAGCATCTCTAATACATCAGAGATAGGATTTTTCCTATACAAAAAAGGAAAGCTGGGAAGCTACCTTTGGACGAGTTGTCATATCACCACATGGATTTGTGGAACTGCCAAAGCATCGCCCCGTTCCAAATGCAGATTTGATCATCTCTAGCAGAGGTGTCACGGGCAGGACATGCAGCCCTCAATACTCCCAAGTACAGCCCCAGCCAGATAAAAATGTAATAGGGAAATGTTTAAGAAAATAAATAAGAGTACAATAAAACATGGAAAATGTTAATTTATGGTTTTCTGGGTCAATATGCCACTTGCAGGGATCTGTTTCTATTTGAGTTTGAAGCTACTGGTCTACAGCATCCTACTGTGCTTTCTAGCTGGCTGTAAAGAATATCCTATAATAAATTTCTTTCAGATGCCTAAGACTTACATGTGGGTTTCCTCCTTCTCCCTCATTCTCTAAGCGTACCACGTTATCATTCATCTGAAGACGCATTTGCTGCTGCTGCTTCTTTTTTTTTTTGGTTAGGCAATGGGGTTAAGTGACTTGCCCACGATCACACAGCTAGTAAGTGTTATGTGTCTGAGGCCGGATTTGAACTCAAGTCCTCCTGAATCCAGGGCATTTGCTTCTAAGGAAGGGACTGAAATGAGTAAGAGAAACTGATAATTTTCGAGCTCCTCAAACTCAGAGTGCCCTCATTCCAGTATCTCCACTGAAAGCCCCTAATTTGATGAATTAACTCAAAGGGCTGACGAAGTACATGTCACAGTCTAGACCCTAAGTATTCTTACCCATGCTTTCACTTGTGGGGATTGTTAGGCTGATCCCTTTTCAGTGATTATGGATTTCATCGAGAAGGCTCAGGACCAGAAGTAGGGACTATTTTGCAGCTTGATGCAATCAGCAAAATGTCACCCATCCACAGGAGTTATTTAGAGGTCCTAACTATCCACAGGGAGGGAGTCCCTCCTTTTCTTTCCTCTTTTTTTTTTTTTTTAGGCAATTGGAGTTAAATGACTTGCCCAAGGTCACACAGCTAGTAAGTGTCAAGTGTTTGGTCTGAGGCTGGGTCCTCCTGACTTTCAGGGCTGGTGCTCTGTCTACTGCGCCACCTAGCTGCCCCTCTTTTCTTGAGGTCTGTGAAGAGCCGCCTCTGAGAGTGGCAAACACCCTGGTAGCACACATCTTCCCTTGTTGGCTACACACAGCCAGCAAACTGGTGAAGAGCGCTCGTTCTCTCTCTCTGCAGCTATATCCATCAAGGAATCCTGAATGATCTCAACTTATTCACAGGAGACATCCCACCAGAGCACAGTACACAGGGAGGCATCCTGATCCACTGAGTCAAATGTTATATACAGTCAAACTCTATATTCAACAAACCAAAACATATTAGAATTCTGTATTCTTCTTATTCCCAGAATTAGCCAAAGGAACTGTGAAGATGCCTGTGAAAACCTGCCAGTTCCTTTCTCATACTTTCAACATCTTGCATAGATGTTCAAAACTTGCATAGATAATTCTTAAAATGATTTCAGAGAGGTGAAAAATTAGTTTCATTAATTATTCAAATCATTCAAATCCTTAAAAT